GGTATCAATGTGGAATGGAGTCTGAAAGTTTCTGTTTCTCTCATCTTGAGTGTTCAAGTGCTGTATCAGTTTCATGAATGTTACAATATGTAGATGCATCGTGAAGTTTATTAGTCTATGATTTGCAAATATCCCACCCACTGTGATGAGCCATGTAAGTTATGTACTGTAACTGCTAGACATACATGCATATTACAAGTCTTTCTGGGAAAGTCAAGAGCTTGACTGATTAATAACAAGATGATGCATTCACTAGCCCCACCCCAAAACATTTTGTCCTTACATATGGAAGTTTGCCAAATATAATGTAATTGATTCATAGCTACTTTGAGATTTGCCTCCGCAATGAATACAGTGTGGCCCTTCACTATGGCTGTATCATGAACTAAACGTGTCGGTAAGGAGGCAGTTATGCCTAAGTAAAAGAAAGGAAGGATTTCTTATTTTAAATGATTTATTTCATGTAACCAAATTAATTTTGCATCAACAAATTCCTCTTCATATTAATACAATAAAGTACTGACTTCTAGAACTGATCACAACCATGAAGTAAATTAATCACAAACCGATTCTGTTCTTTGGAGAATCTGTTCTTTTTTGGGGGGGGGTATGTATGTGAGTGCGACTACTGCCTTGTGTTAGCAGTGGTGGGAAAAGTACCCAATTGTCATACTTGAGTAAAAGTAAAGATACCTTAATAGAAAATTACTCAAGTAAAAGTGAAAGTCACCCAGTAAAATACTACTTTAGTAAAAGTCTAAAGGTTTTTGGTTTTAAATATACTTAAGTATCAAAAGTACATGTAATTGCTAAAATATACTTACGTTTTGAAAGTAAAAGTATAAATAATTTCAAATTCCCTATATTAAGCAAACCAGACGGCACCATTTTCTTGTTTTTTTATTTACTTACGGATAGCCAGGGGCACACTCCAACACTCAGACATAATTTACAAACAAAGCATTTGTGTTTAGTGAGTCCACCAGATCAGAGGCAATCGAGATGACCAGGGATGTTCTCTTGATAAATGCATGAATTTGACAATTTTCCTGTCCTGCTAGCCATTCAAAATGTAACGAGTACTTTAGGGTGTCAGGGAAAATGTATGGAGTAAAAAGTACATTATTTTCTTTAGGAATGTAGTGAAGTAAAAGTTGTCAAAAATATAAATAGTAAAGTACAGATACCCAAAAAAACGGCTTTAGTAGTACTTTAAAGTATTTTTACTTAAGTACTTTACACCACTGTGTGTTAGTATGACTAGTTGTCTGATGCAGCGAAGCACTTATTCAATTCCAGACTTGTTTTGTTGAGTTTTTCGTTAACTGACAATTTGCTGGTGTTTCTTTATGTAAGAATACCAAGAAAAACTCTTCCAACACTGGAAGCAATGATAAGGCTTCTCTGTCACTACTGTAGGTGTGCCCTTAGATGCTGGAACTGAGAAAAACTTGGCTCACACAGGGAGCAGTGGTACGGCTTCTCTCCTGTGATACAAATAAATACAATTCTCACTGCAATCTGAGCAGAGTTTGCCTCAGATGAGTCTGGTAGGAGGAACTATAGGAGGAGGGGCTCATATTAATGGCTGGAATGGAATTAATAGTATGGGTCAAACGTGGTTTTCATACGTTTGATACCTTTCAATTAATACAGGGTTTCCCAAACTCGGTCCTCAAGGGGTGCACATTTTGGTTTTTGCCCTAGCACTACACAGCTGAATCAAATAATCAACTAATCACCAAGCTTTGATAATTGTAATCAGCTGTGTAGTGTTAGGGCAAAAACCGAAACGTGCACCGAGTTTGGGAAAACGCTGAATTACATTTTAGTCATTTAGCAGACGCTCTTATCCAGAGCGACTTACAGTTAGTGAGTGCATACATTATTTTTTATTTTTCATACTGGCCCCCCGTGGGAATCGAACCCACAACCCTGGCGTTGCAAACGCCATGCTCTACCAACTGAGCTACATCCCTGCCGGCCATTCCCTCCCCTACCCTAGACGACGCTGGGCCAATTGTGCGCCGCCCCATGGGTCTCCCGGTCATGGCCGGCTACGACAAAGCCTGGATTCGAACCAGGATCTCTAGTGGCACAGCTAGCACTGCGATGCAGTGCCTTAGACCACTGTGCCACTCGGGAGGTGTTAATTAATACCATTCAATGACCCTGTCCTCCCATAGTTCCCCCCACCAGCCTCCTCTGGTTTGCATGTGTGACTTCTCAAATCCTTGGGCTCAAAGAAACTACTGAACTGTGGCGGCTGGTGGGATGAGCTATAGGAGGATGGGCTCATTGTAATGGCTGAAATGGAATTCATGGAATGGTATCAAACATATGGAAACCGCATGTTTGACTCCATTCCAGCCATTACAATGAGCCTGTCCTACTGTAGCTCCTCCCACCAGCCTCCACTGGTACTGAAACAGTCCAAGAAATGGCGATGTTTTCGTCTTGATTTCCTCTGTACTGTTTATTTGATGCGGTGGAACTGGGGCTGACACTAAACACCGTCTTCGACTTGTCTGTCGGTTGTATTTTAGCGCGCAATCATTGTTACCGGAAGTATTTCATACAGGCGTAAAGGAGTTAACCAATGAAATAGCCTAATCTGGTATTTTGTCCAATCATAGATTGAGTGGGCGGGTCCAACGTGTAGCTACCCGGTAGTTGAGTAGTTAGTAGGTGGATGTACATGATATAGACAAAATAACGTACATTTTTGTTTTAAAACGTATTCTGATGAGCTACAGAAAGTAGATAGCTAGTATGCATTAAACTGAGGCAAGTAACAAGTATACTCGGACATCTAGCTAGCTAACTTACTAAAAACGAAGCGGTCCCTCGGTTACTGTCAGAACTAGCTAACAGCACCAACATCATCATGGAAGGAGGGGGCACAACCGAAAACCAATGTATGAGTTGAAGGTAGCTAACATTAGCCAGCCTGCTAGCTAGCTATACATTATTATGCAATACACTTTGATAGCATGCCTATACGTAGTTATTTTGCCAGCTCGGTGCATTTTGCTCAACGCTAGCCTAGCTACCCAGGCAGCTAATGTTAGCTTGCAGTGCTGACTTGTTTACTGTGTCGTTAGGGAGTCGCCAGCTAGTTGCAGCTAACCTTGCTAGCTAGCTATTCATATTAGCTACCATAGCTAGCTACTAGCCCATTGTACTCGGCTAACGTAAGCTAGTGCTGTCATTAAATATGCAGCCTACCTACCCACCCACATAAACATATCTACAGTGCATTCGGAAAGTATTCAGACCCCTTGACTTTTCCACATTTTGTTACGTTACAGGCTTATTCTAAAACGGATTAAATAGTCCCCCCCCCCCCACTGTTTTTGACAAAGCAAAAACCGTTTTTTCCCACATTTTTGCAATTGTATTTTTAAAATAAAACCGGAAATATCACAATATTTACATAAGTATTCAGACCGCTTTACACAGTACTTAGTTGAAGCACCTTTGGCACCAATTACAGCCTTGAGTCTTCTTGGGTATTATGAAGTTTGGCACACCTGTATTTGGGGAGTTAATCCCATTCTTCTCTGCAGACCCTCTCAAGTTCTGTCAGGTTGGATGGGGAGCATCACTGCACAGCTATTTTCAGATCTCTCCAGAGGTGTTGGATCGGGTTCAAGTCAGGGCTCTGGCTGGGCCACTCAAGGGCATTCAGAGACTTGTCCCGAAGCCACTCCTGCATTGTCTTGGCTGTGTGCTTAGGGTCGTTGTCCTGTTGGAAGGTGAACCTTCGCCCCAGTCTGAGGTCCTGAGCGCTCTGGAGCAGGTTTTCATCAAGGATCTCTCTGTACTTTGCTCCGTTCATCTTTCCCTCGATCCTGACTAGTCTCCCAGTCCCTGCCGCTGAAAAACATCCCCACAGCATGATGCTGCCACCATCATGCTTCACCATAGGGATGGCATTGGCCAGGTGATAAGCGGTGCCTGGTTTCCTCCAGACTTGACAGTTGGCGTGCAGGCCAAACAGTTCAATCTTGGTTTCATCAGACCAGAGAATCTTGTTTCTCATGGTCTGAGAGTCTTTTAGGTGCCTTTTGTCAAACTCCAAGCGGGCTGTCATATGCCTTTTACTGAGGAGTGGCTTCCGTCTGGCCACTCTACCATAAAGGCCTGATTGGTGGAGTGCTGCAGAAATGGTTGTCCTTCTGGAAGGTTCTCCCATCTCCACAGAGGAACTCTGGAGCTCTGTCAGAGTGACCATCGGGTTCTTGGTCACCTCCCTGACGAAGGCCCTTCTCCCCCGATTGCTCAGTTTGGCCGGGCGGCCAGCTCTAGGAAGAGTCTTGGTGGTTCCAAACTTCTTCCATGTAAGAATGATGGAGGCCACTGTGTTCTTGCTTCAATGCTGCAGACAATTTTTGGTACCCTTCCCCAGATCGGTGCCTCGACACAATCCTGTCTCTGAGCTTTACGGACAATTCCTTCAACCTCATGGCTTGGATTTTGCTCTGACATACACTGTCAACTGTGGGACCTTATATAGACCGGTGTTTGCCTTTCCAAATCATGTCCAATCAATTGAATTTACCACAGGTGGACTCCAAGTTGTAGAAACATCTCAAGGATGATCAATAGAAACAGGATGCACCTGAGCTCAATTTCAAGGCTCATTGCAAAGGGTCTGAATACTTATCTAAATAAGGTATTTAATTTTTTTTATTTTGAACACATTTGCAAAAATTTCTAAAAACCTGTTTTTGCTTTGTCATTATGGGATATTGTGTGTAGATTGATCAATTTTAGAATAACGCTGTAATGTAACAAAATGTGGAAAAAGTGAAGGGGTCTGAATACTTTCCAAATGCACTGGAGCTAGCTTGATTTCGAAATGATCATGTTGCACTGACTCTCAACTCTCAAACTACACTACAGTATCTTCAAGTGTTGTAAAAATGTTTTAAAAAAATCTTTATCCATAGGTCAGAAGTAATCAATCACATCAACTGACATAACAAGCTACAACCATGTACTCCAGCCCAGATGTCTGCCTAAAATCTGGCAGTCACAACAGTAGCAGTAACAGCAACAGCATCACTGAACTGCTGGGCTCCCTGTGTGACAGCAGCCTCACTGGGGTGTCATGGAAACGTCGTGCTCTAGGAGGGGTGTCCCGAGAGGGGGTCCGCCGCACCCTCAGAAAGCATGCCTACGGGGCCCTGCTGTCCAAACTGTTCCAGGAGGGCTCCCCGAAAGGGTCCTTGTCAGTACCTAGTGCCACGTCCATCACTCCGCCCAGAAACAAGCTACTTATGATGTCCTTTGACTTGCGTGTGGCGGGGTGCCAGGACGAGGCCGAGAGGCTGGAGGAGCAGCTGGGGAGGCTAGGTGAGGGGGCCGCCTCGGGTCTGAAGGAGCTGGACTCTGTGCTGGAGCTCCTGGTGCAGCTGACTGGCTCTGCACCCCCACCCCCGGCCTCCTTCAGCAGGGACTACATGCGCAGGGAGAGGCCCGTGCTGAGGAGGCCTCCGCTGGGGGGGTACCAGAGCGAGGAGCTGCAGAGGCTGGAGGCCCGGGCCTGGGCCCTGATGTGTGGGGAAGAGTGGGGATCCCTGAAGGGTCTGTGTGGGACTCTGGGTCTGATGGACGCTCCTCCGGGCACCGGCCTGCTGGCTCTTAGGAGGAGGTCAGACGTAGAGGAGAGGTTTGAGAAGGAGACCAGGATGTCTCTGTTTGGAGCCCTGCAGCACTCCCGTACCTCAGACCTGGACATCAGGCTGGACCTGCCTCCTCTGCCCAGCAACGCTGATGTCACTGGGCTAGCCATACGGGTAAGACTGACACTGATATGAGTGGGTGTATGACGAATTTCAGTTAATTTGGTTAAAGTGCTTCTTTGTCAATATGAGTGGTTGTTTTTTGACAATGGTAAAAAGTACTGTAATCAATATGTCAGACCCAATTGATTTGTACTTATTAGCACTGGATGATTAGTCATTATAATCAATTATCTCTTGTTGGTGCTCTAACCAGGTGCCACCTTGTTTGGACCTGTTAGAAGATGAGGGCTTCCAGTCAGCCTCCAACCTGACCCCAGACTCCCAGTCAGAGCCCAGCCCCAGCCCAGAGCTTGATGTCTGGGAAGCCCTGAGGACTTTTGAGCCTGGGAGACGCCGCTGCTGGGAGTCTGTTGGCTGGTAAGGGAGGGATCCAAAAGTATTTGAAAGACTGAAACATATAGCTGGGGGGCAATTCCACGGTAACGGATTACAAACAAAAACAATTTATAAGTTTAACAAGGAATACTTTCAACAATTTACACAGAAAATGTCACAAAAATACATTTACTGGAAGAACTGTGCAGATGCAAAGTTTGGTAACAGAATTACGGTAAACTCTCCCTCAGGTTATGCGACCACGTTTTCCAAAAACTCTGTTAAATATCTGCTCTGAATTAAAATTCAAAAATGTCTGCAGAAAGAATCGGGTGTCAGCTATGATATGACACCTTGAGTAAAGAAAAAGTCTAAAAACATTTTGGTTACTAAACTACAGTAGGTGAAGTGACTTTACATCAGGTAACGAAATTACTTTAACGGAATTAGGTACACAAAGGTAGAAATATGCAATATACTTATTTTGCATATTTGTGTATTATTCTACACACTGGTTATTTTTGTAATGAGCTCCGCCCCCAAACAAGACCACATTTGGTTGGTCCGGACAGACAAAATCAGAAGAATCATAGACGTCTATGTTTCACAAGTTACGACATCACAGTAGAGTACAGTAAAGTAGAGTTCAGTACAGTACATTAGAGTACAGTAAATAGATATGTACAGTACATTAAACTTTACTCTAGTGTGCACTACTGTACTGAACTCTATTACAGTGCTGTACAGTACTACTGTACTTTTCTTTACTGTACTGTTCTCTACTGTGCTGTACTCTCCAAACTTGTGTAACATAGACCTCTATGATTGGTTCAGATTTGGTCCGACAAGGGCGGACTGGATTGGATTTATTTGGGTAAAAGACAACAAAATGTACACTGCGAACCCAGAGGATAGAATTTAAAAGTGATAATTAAAATACTTGTTTACAAAGTGGACCTCAATGGTAAAAACAAATAACACATATAATGATTTAAAAGGCAAGACACAATTACAAACAACCACACTACATTCATTTACAGTATATTGACATCCTAAAAAGTGGCACTTAAAAGCACATTTCCCTAACTTAAAAAAACTACCTATTCATTGCACAACATCCCTAACCTAGGAAACAAGCTATTTATTGCACATAATGCCTAACCTAGAAAACAAGCTATTTATTGCACATAATCCCTAACCTAGAAAACAAGCTATTTATTGCACATCAAATAAAATGTTATTTGTCACATGCGCCGAATACAACAGGTGTAGACCTTACAGTGAAATGCTTACTTACAAGCCCTTAACCAACAATGCAGTTTTAAGAAAAATTTGTGATAAGTAAAAAATAAATAAAAATAAAGAGCAGCAGTAAAATAACAGTAGCGAGGCTATATAAGGGGGTACCGGTACAGAGTCAATGTGCGGGGGCACAGCTTAGTCGAGGTAATTTAGGTAATATGGACATGTAGGGGGAGTGACTATGCATAGATAATAAACAGAGAGTGGCAGCAGCGTAAAAGAGGAGGTGGGTGGGGGGGGGACAATGCAAATAGTCCGGGTAGCCATTTGATTAGCTGTTCAGGAGTCTTATGTCTTGAGGGTAGAAGCTGTTAAGAAGCCTTTTGGACATAGACTTGGAGCTCTGGTACCGCTTGCCGTGCGGTAGCAGAGAGAACAGTCTATGACTAGGGTGGCTGGAGTCTTTGACAATTTTTAGGGCCTTCCTCTGACACCGCCTGGTATAGAGGTCCTGGATGGCAGGAAGCTTGGCCCCAGTGAAGTACTGGGCCTTACGCTCTACCCTCTGTAGTGCCCTGCGGTCGGAGGCCGAGCAGTTGCCATACCAGGCAGTGATGCAACCAGTCAGGATGATCTCGATGGTGCAGCTGTATAATTTTTTGAGAATCTGAGGACCCATGCCAAATCTTTTCAGACTCCTGAGGGGGAATAGGCTTTGTCGTGCCCTCTTCACGACTGTCTTGGTGTGTTTGGACCATGATAGTTTGTTGGTGGTGGACACCAAGGAACTTGAATCTCTCAACCTGCTCCACTACATCCCCGTCGATGAGAATGGGGGCGTGCTCGGTCCTCCTTTTCCTGTAGTCCACAATTATCTCCTTTGTCTTAATCACGTTGAGGGAGAGGTTGTTATCCTGGCACCACACGGCCAGGTCTCTGACTTCCTCCCTATAGGCTGTCTCGTCGTTGTCGGTGATCAGGACCTACCACTGTTGTGTCGTCAGCAAACTTAATGATGGTATTGGAGTCGTGCCTGGCCATGCAGTCATGGGTGAACAAGAAGTACAGGAGGGGACTGAGCACACACCCCTGAGGGGCCCCCGTGTTGAGGATTAGCGTGGCAGATGTGTTGTTACCTACCCTTACCACTTGGGGGCGGCCCGTCAGGAAGTCCAGGATCCAGTTGCAGAGGAGGTGTTTAGTCCCAGGGTCCTTAGCTTAATGATGAGCTTTGAGGGCACTATTGTGTTGAACGTTGAGCTGTAGTCGATGAATAGCATTCTCACGTAGGTGTTCCTTTTGTCCAGGTGAGAAAGGGCAGTGTGGAGTGCAATAGAGATTGCATCATCTGTGGATCTGTTGGGGCGGTATGCATATTGGAGTGGGTCTAAGGTTTCTGGGATAATGGTGTTGATGTGAGCCATGAACAGCCTTTCAAAGCACTTCATGGCTACAGACGTGAGTGTTACGGGTCTGTAGTCATTTAGGCATGTTACCTTAGTGTTCTTGGGCACAGGGACTATGGTGGTCTGCTTGAAACATGTTGGTATTACAGACTCAGTCAGGGACAGGTTGAAAATGAAGACACTTGCAAGTTGGTCAGCGCATGCTCGGAGTACATGTCCTGGTAATCCGTCTGGCCCTGCGACCTTGTGAATGTTGACCTGTTTAAAGGTCTTACTCACATCGGCTATGGAGAGCGTGATCACACAGTCGTCCGGAACAGTTGATGCTCTCATGAATGCTTCAGTGTTGCTTGCCTCGAAGTGAGCATAGAAGTAATTTAGCTCGTCTGGTAGGCTCGTGTCACTGGGCAGCTCGCGGCTGTGCTTCCCTTTGTAGTCTGTAATAGTTTGCAAGCCCTGCCACATCCGACGAGCGTTGGAGCCGGTGTAGTACGATTCAATCTTAGTCCTGTATTGACGCTTTGCCTGTTTAATGGTTCGTCGGAGGGCATAGCGGGATTTCTTATAAGCATCCGGGTTAGAGTCCCACTCCGTGAAAGCGGCAGCTCTACCCTTTAGCTCAGTGCAGATGTTGCCTGTAATCAATGGCTTCTGGTTGGGGTACGTACAGTTACTGTGGGTATGACGTCATCGATGCACTTATTGATGAAGCCTGTGACTGATGTGTACTCCTCAATGCCATCGGAAGAATCCCGGAACATATTCCAGTCTGTGCTAGCAAAACAGTCCTGTAGCTTAGCATCTGCATCATCTGACCACTTCTTTATTGACCAAGTCACTGCTGCTTCCTGCTTTAGTTTTTGCTTGTAAGCAGGAATCAGGAGGATAGAATTATGCTCAGATTTGCCAAATGGAGGGCGAGGGAGAGCTTTGTACGAGTCTCTGTGTGTGGAGTAAAGGTGGTCTAGAGTTTTTTTTTCCTCTGGTTGCACATTTAACATGCTGGTAGAAATGAGGTAAAATGGATTTAAGTTTCCCTGCATTAAAGTCCCCGGCCACTAGGAATGCCGCCTTTGGATGAGCGTTTTCCTGTTTGCTTATGGCCTTATACAGCTCACTGAGTGCGGTGTTAGTGCCAGCATCGGTTTGTGGTGGTAACTAGACAGCTACGAAAAATATAGATGAAAACTCTTGGTAAATAGTGTGGTCTACAGCTTATCATAAGATACTCTAACTCAGGCGAGCAAAACCTAGAGACTTCCTTAATATTAGATTTTGTGCACCAGCTGTTGTTTAGAAATATACACAGACCCCCATCCCTTGTCTTACTTGAGGTGACTGTTCTATCTTGCCGATGCAGCATAAACCCCGCCAGCTGTATGTTATCGATGTCGTCGTTCAGCCACGACTTTAATGTCCCGTTGGTAGGATATTCGTGATCGTAGCTCGTCTATTTTGTTATCCAATGATTGTAGGTTGGCTAATAAGAGTGATGGTAGAGGCAGATTACCCACTCGCCATCGGATCCTTACAAGGCACCCTGACCTACGTCCCCGATATCGCTGTCTGTTTCTCCTGCGAATTACGGGGATTTGGGCCTTGTCAGGTGTCTGAAGTAAATCCTTTGCGTCCGACTCGTTAAAGAAAAAATATTTGTCCAGTACAAGGTGAGTAATCGCTGTCCTGATATCCAGAAGCTCTTTTCGATCATAAGAGACAGTGGCAGAAACATTATGTACAAAATAAGTTACAAATAACGCGAAAAAACACACACGATAGCACAATTGGTTAGGAGATGTAAAACGGCAGCCATCTCCTCTGGCGCCATTATGCATCCCTAACCTAGGAAACAAGCTATTTATTGCACATAATCCCTAACCTAGGAAACAAGCCATTTATTGCACATAATCCCTAACCTAGGAAACAAGCTATTTATTGCACATCATCCCTAACCTAGGAAACAAGCTATTTATTGCACATCATCCCTAACCTAGGAAACAAGCTATTTATTGCACATACAGTGCCTTGCAAAAGTATTCATCCCCCTTGGCGTTTTTCCTATTTTGTTGCATTACAACCTGTAATTTAAATGGTTTTTATTTGGATTTCATGTAATGGACATACACAGAATAGTCCAAATTGGTGAAGTGAAATGAAAAAAATTACTTGTTTCAAGAAATTCTAAAAAAAAAAAAAAATACGGAAAAGTGGTGCATGCATATGTATTCACCCCCTTTGCTATGAAGCCCCTAAATAAGATCTGGTGCAACCAATTACCTTCAGAAGTTACATAATTAGTTAAATAAAGTCCACCTGTGTGCAATCTAAGTGTTACATGATCTGTCACATGATCTCAGTATATATACACCTGTTCTGAAAGGCCCCAGAGTCTGTAACACCACTAAGCAAGGGGCACCACTAAGCAAGCGGCACCATGAAGACCAAGGAGCTCTCCAAACAGGTCAGGGACAAAGTTATGGAGAAGTACAGATCGGGGTTGGGTTATAAAAAAATATCCGAAACTTTGAACATCCCACGGAGCACCATTAAATCCATTATTAAAAATAGAAAGAATATGGCACCACAACAAACCTGCCAAGATAGGGCCGCCCACAAAAATTCACGGACCAGGCAAGGAGGGAATTAATCAGAGAGGCAACAAAGAGACCAAAGATAACCCTAAAGGAGCTGCAAAGCTCCACAGCGGAGATTGGAGTATCTGTCCATAGGACCACTTTAAGCCGTACACTCCACAGAGCTGGGCTTTACGGAAGAGTGGCCAGAAAAAAGCCATTGCTTAAAGAAAAAAATAAGCAAACACATTTGGTGTTCGCCAAAAGGCATGTGGGAGACTCCCCAAACATATGGAAGAAGGTACTCTTGTCAGATGAGACTAAAATTGAGCTTTTTGGCCATCAAGTAAAAAACGCAATGTCTGGCGCAAACCCAACACTGCTCATCACCCCGAGAACACCTTCTCCACAGTGAAGCATGGTGGTGGCAGCATCATGCTGTGGGGATGTTTTTCATCGGCAGGGACTGGGAAACTGGTCAGAATTGAAGGAATTATGGATGGCACTAAATAGAGGGAAATTCTTGAGGGAAACCTGTTTCAGTCTTCCAGAGATTTGAGACTGGGACGGAGGTTCACCTTCCAGCAGGACAATGACCCTAAGCATACTGCTAAAGCAACACTAGAGTGGTTTAAGGGGAAACATTTAAATGTCTTGGAATGGCCTAGTCAATGCCCAGACCTCAATCCAATTGAGAATCTGGGGTATGACTTAAAGATTGCTGTACACCAAGCTTATAGAGACATACCCCAAGATACTTGCAGCTGTAATTGCTGCAAAAGTTTGGCTCTACAAAGTATTGACTTTGGGGGGTGAATAGTTATGCACACTAAAGTTTTCTGTTATTTTGCATCTTCAAAGTGGTAGGCATGTTGTGTAAATCAAATGATACAAACCCCTAAAAAAATCAATTTTAATTCCAGGTTGTAAGGCAACAAAATAGGAAAAATGCCAAGTGGGGTGAATACTTTCGCAAGCCACTGTAATCCCTATCTTTCAAATAAATACAACCTGTCCAGCAGTAGGGAGCACATGGTTTTTCTGTCTCTCTGTGACCGGCAACCGCCGATATCTTCAGAATAAAGTTGACTACAAATACAAAGTTGAGATGTCTTTCCAATTGATACAAACAAGCAATGAATAAAAAGATGCTTCGAATGAAAACCAAGATGACTGCATTAAAATATACATTTGGTGTACAAAATATTATCTTTCCATGACATAGACTGACCAGGTGAATCCATGTGAAAGCTATGATTCCTTATTGATGTCACTTGTTAAATCCACTTAAATCAGTGTAGATGAAGTGGAGGAGACAGGTTAAAGAAGGATTTAAGACTTGGCAATTGAGACATGGATTATGTGTGCCATTCAGAGGGTGAATGGGCAAGACAAAAGATTTAAGTGCCTTTGAATGGGGTATGGTAGTAGGTGACAGGCGTAGGGCTGTGGCGGTCAAAAACTTTTGTCAGCTGGTGATTGTCAAGTAAATAACTGTCTGTCTCACGGTAATTGACCGTTAATTAACATAAACACATTTAGCATCTCCTGGCTTACACACATAGCCCACAAGCCATTTAAAAAAGTATAATAAATCCATGTAATATAGCCTACACATTCACAATAAATCCATTATTTATTTTAGACAGGTCTAAAGAAGCATGATATGAAGAAAATGTAGTCTATTTCAGAAAAACATTATAGCGTACTCTGAGTTGGCTGTGGGCTACACAAGTTAATTTAGCAGAGAAGATTTGCTTATATTTCCATGGCATTATCTTATAGTATGAAGAATACAATTGAACAAAGCTGAATAAAATATAAATATTTTCTCCTAACTATTTGATGGAGTGCACACATGCGGCTATTCTGTGTTGAGCGGTTAACAAAGAAATAGCTACTCCTATATGCTTTATTTAGAGTTATTAATGTAACTTTAGTTGTTCTACAAACGTTGGGCTATATGTTTAGATTTTTAATACATTGTAATGCTGCATATTGGTCCTCTGTAGCTCAGCTGGTAGAGCACGGCGCTTGTAACGCCAAGGTAGTGGGTTCGATACCCGGGACCACCCATACACAAAATGTATGCACGCATGACTGTAAATCGCTTTGGATAAAAGCGTCTGCTATATGGCATATTATTATTATTTTAATGATGATTTGAAAAAAGTCGCTTGAAAGGCATGAGCTCTGCTTTGTTTTTTGCGCAGGCTGTACACACTCCAATAGTCTCTCATTCACAATTTGACAAGCACTTGATAATGCCTTAAATTTCACGCCGGCATCCTCTTTGTGGCCGTAATGCACCCTAAAATCCATGCCTTTTGCGTTGTGTTCTTCTCCCTGAGTGTGCTGCGTCACTCACTCACACGGCTCTCCGTCACGTGGTCTTTCTCACAGTTAAGATAGACACATCCGGGACGCAACTGCACGCGTCCTTATCCAATTCCGAGGTGCATATTGAAGATATTGGAAGAACTGTCCACATTTACTTTTCGTCAGCCCACAAGATGAGTAGGCCTAACGAACAGCAAAAGCACTAGCCTATGTCAATCTACTATCCCCCATAGTACAAAAGTTGACATTCTGTGCGAGAATAAATATTCCAAACATAGTCTGGGACAGTTGTGGGATTCGATAGATCCCAAATTATTACAACCACTAGCATCAAAAAACATGTTTTATGCAATGTGGCTGACCAACAGATCAGAACGTTTAGCTTAAAATGTTGATAAACTATTAGGCTATTTCTTCACATTATAAGCGCAGCAATGCGCACATGGCAGTAGGCTATAAGTGCGAATGTGCCATTAGCGGAAAACACCATTATCAAAAGTGACCGCAAATTATCTCCCCCAAACTTGAAACTCACGTGCTGCTTATATATTCTATTTAGACTCTACACCCCTTGTAAAGCGGATTAATGTGCTTCATTTTAAGAAGTTATTTGGCCACTTTAGTTGTGATACAAACCTTATTAAAACATATAGGCCTATGGGCTAGGCTACATGAGGTGTGCGACTATGATTCGAACAAGTAGCAAAGAAAGGCATTGTTTCTTATGCTGGGCATCATTCACAAGTGATAGGCTAATATTGTCACCAATCAGACTATTCTTGATTTAATCTTGTCTTTACATATACTAAATAATATGTGTGACATTTTGTTTTGATTTAGAATGGACCATTATCATGCACCTGTATCGAAACAGGGGCAGCGGGAAAAAAGACATGTAATCTATGCACTTAAATAGCGAATGGAGAACGCTTTTCCCCGTGGTTTATTTTCATGCCAGCCAGGTAGGCTATACTCATTCACATTTACATTTAAGTCATTTAGAAGATGCTCTTATCCAGAGCGACTTACAAATTGGTGCATTCAACTCCTATTGTAAATATAAGCAATGTGCTTAATCTAATCAAACAGAGTGATTAGAGGGACAATAGAGTGCTGAGTACCAGGCAGTTTGGTAGGCTACTAATGACCAGCATTAACATCAGAGCTTGGAGAAGCCTAATTACCGTGACTAAACGGTAATGTGTAATTTTTTTGTAATTTAGCAGACGCTCTTATCCAGAGCGACTTACAGTTAGTGAGTGCATACATTATTTTTTTCATACTGGCTCCCATGGGAATTGAACCCACAACCCTGGCGTTGCAAGCGCCATGCTCTACCACCTGAGCTACTCGTGACCGCCGGTGTGGTGGAAATACGGTCACCGCAACAGCCCTAGCCAGGCGCATCGGTTTGTGTCAAGAACTGCAACGCTGCTAGGTTTTTCATCTCAACAGTTTCCCGTGTGTATCAAGAATGGTCCACCACCCAAAGGACATCCAGCCAACTTGACACAACTGTGTCATTGGAGTCAACATGGGCCAGCATCCCTGTGGAATGCTTTCGACACCTTGTAGGGTCCATGCCCCCGACGAACTGAGGTTGTTCTGAGGGCGGGTGCACAACTCAATATTAGGAAGGTGTTCTTAATGTTTTCTACAGTAAATACAGTAGGCTACAGGCCTATTTCAATCATATTGAAATACATTTGATGTTCAATAAATTGAGTTATATTCTGTAATTTCTCACTATATTTCATGATGTGTAGCCTAACATGTGCGCAATGATGTGCCAAATCAGTGATTCAGTGCATTTCTATTGGGTTAGCATTACAATAAACCGCCTCAATATTTGCAGCCATGGTGGTAATATCTCTCTAGGGGTTAATCCGTCCTCAGTATTGTAAAATAATTATAAATGTTAAGGTTTTAATTGAGAAAGCTGATCTGAGAGCAGCACTGCCTTTCTTTCGATCCTATTAGTATCGATGCATGCTCCAACGACGCACTTTGCGACCGTTTTCTCTGGGTGGTGTTTTGCGAAACGTATGTTACATCTGCCTTTGTAGGAAAGATGCATCGTTAAAGCAACCGGGCCCAGACTGTTGTCACAGTCTTGCTTTGACCACCAGATGACAGAAAGAGGAATAAAAAACCCCAGTTATAAACTGAACATAACAGTATACCAGTTGAAGGGAGGACAGTAGCAGGTGAAAATTCGATCAACTATCCTAAACAATGCACAGGCAATTGGTTAGAATGACATTTAGTGATCGAGTTTAGGGAACTGTGTGCCTAATTGCATGGTGGTTGTTGACCTGTGAGTAACGGTCTTACCTGAGCTTATAGAACAGTTATAAGCTGAACATGACAGTATGCCAGTTGAAGGGAGGATAGTAGCAGGTGACCCAACTGTGGTTTGTGACTGATTTCCCATTGTAGGCGATTCAATTGCATTAATAACATAACAGATTTTTTGGGAATTCTAAACTTTAATCACTTAATAATTCAATAACAAACTGACTAATTGGTAGGTCTACCTTTACTTGTTACTTATGTGAACTTTCATTATCCTCATGAGGGAAATAAATTAGGAAATATCTTAAAGATATGTGGGTTTTTGGTAACAAGGCACAAGGCAATGTTTCTTAAATTTACCGAAGGTAAATCATTTATCCAAAACTAAATATAAGTGTTGATATTAGTTGGCGGAGGTCTTTATTTTATAATTGTGTTTTGATGTATTTCTAATACCATTTTTAAGACTTTTTCTGGTAGATGTTTTCTAAGATGCCTTTTTCTATCTGTTTGACCAGAAATCAAAGCCTTTGCTTGTTCCTCATTTGTATTATGGGAAAAAAATTACAAATATATGTATGCCTTAATTTCTCAAATATATAGACTCTTAGGTTTCATTTGACACCCAATTTGACATGATCCTTTGAACTTCACATGTTGGTGCTCATTGGTCCTTTTAGATGGAAATGGCGTAAGATGTTAGAATGGTACACACCAACAATTTAAAGTTTCTCTGTTGTAGGGGCTACAGGTCTCTTAAATGTATAGATTCCAGAATAATGTTGTTAATCAAGCATAAACTCTGTTTCTCCCACCAGCCCACCAGGGAAGAGGGAAGCCCCCTACCTGACGGAGGGGGGCAGGGAGGCTTTTGACCAGCTCTACAGGCTGTGGGAGGGGGAGATGAGGGTGGTCTGCTCTGCACCCCCCTCGCCCCTCCTGCCCCTGCCTCTGGACTGTCAGACACAGCTGGTCAGCGACCTACTTAATGTACTGATCGGGGTGGCGTCTACTACCTTCCCCTCAACCAGGTACTGTACCCCTATTACCTTCACTCTGGTAGTAGTCTACATACTACTTTATTTAGTTTGGTGTATAGGATATGTAATATACAGATTTGCAGTAAATATATATATAGCATGTTATACAACGGGTGGTTCTAATCCTGAATGCTGATTGGTTAAAACCACATTCCAGCCGGTGTCTATTCCACAAGTTACCACCGGCTAAATCTATGATGTTAAAATGCCTATTTACTCTATTCCATTTGACTGCACAATCCACTGTCTCATCAGCCCAGCCAGGCAATTTATAAACTTGATCTCCACTATAAAAAGCATCTAGATATTATCTCACATTTCTTTTAGACTAACACTTAGTTTTCAACAGCTGAGATTTGTATAAATCTTGCTGTCTGTCTCTCCGACATTTGCAAAATTGTTTCAATATGCAAATTCGTTCTCTAGCTGTCCCATAGTAATGAACGTGTCACGAGTCGGGACGAGACAGGCAGGCAGCGTTTCTCAGCCAGTCAAAATCATGAATCAGCTTGCATAATTTGTATGGATATATACAAAGAAATATCAATTGAAAAAAGGTACAACGAAACGAAGTGCAGCTAGTTTACTTCGTCTCGGGCCTAGCAACACCCATGCCAATATATCCTCCAAACACTGGCTTCTTGGGCATTATCACTTAATTAGATAATGGATTCCATTTGTTCTCTTTCTCCAGGTGTGTGTAAACTTTGACGTTCGACCCGGAGTGTGTGTGTCGGGAGCGTCAACGGAGAGTGTGTCTCGTTTGCTTAGCGAGCTGGCTCAGTATGGCACCCATTACCTGAGGCTCAGCCGCTTCGTTCTGCAGAGTGCCCACAAGAGAGGCCTAGTCTTCCAGGTATGGTCCTTCAATCGTTACTGGATAATGTATGCACTCACTAACTGTAAGTTGCTCTGGATAAGAGCGTCTGCTAAATGACTAAAATGTAAAATGTAAATAGGGGGAATTATCTGGTGTGGTGGGGTTTCAAGGCCTTTTAAAGTAAGACATTAAAGAATAGCCATGGGTAACACTTTACTTAAGGCCTACAGGTAAAGGCATTATGATGTGGTTATAATGCATTATAAATGGGTGGTTCGAGCCCTGAATGCTGATTGGCTGAAAGCAAAATAATTTTTTTGGTGTTTTCGGGGTGATGAGAGGCGTTGGGTTTGCGCCAGACAGTGTTTTCCATGATGGCCAAAAAGCTCAATTTGAGTCTCATCTGACCAGAGTACCTTCTTCCATATGTTTGGGGAGTCCCCCACACCAAACGTGTTTGATTATTTATTTCTCTAAGCAGTGGCCTTTTTCTGGCCACTCTTCCATATGCCCAGCTCTGTGGAGTGTATGGCTTAAAGTGGTCCTATGGACAGATACTCCAATCTCCGCTGTGGAGCTTTGCAGCTCCTTCAGGGTTATCTTTGGTCTCTTTGTTGCCTCTCTGATTAATGCCCTCCTTGCCTGGTCCGTGAGTTTTGGTGGGCGGCCCTCTCTTGGCAGGTTTGTTGTGGTGCCATATTCTTTCAATTTTTTATTAATGAATTTAATGGTGCTCCGTGGGATGTTCAAAGTTTCGGATATTCTTTTATAACCCAACCCTCATCTGTACTTCTCCACAACATTGTCCCTGACCTGTTTGGAGAGCTCCTTGGTCTTCATGGTGCCGCTTGCTTGGTTGTGCCCCTTGCTTAGTGGTGTTGCAGACTCTGGGGCCTTTCAGAACAGGTGTATATATACTGAGATCATGTGACACTGAAATAAAGTCCACCTGTGTGACACTTAGATTGCACACAGGTGGACTTTATTTAACTAATTATGTGACTTCTGAAGGTAATTGGTTGCACCAGATCTTATTTAGGGGCTTCATAGCAAAGGGGGTGAATACATATGCACGCACCACTTTTCCTTTATTAATTTTTTTGAATTTTCTTTGAAAGTTTTTTTTTTTCATTTCACTTCACCAATTTTGACTATTTTGTGTATGTCCATTACATGAAATCCAAATAAAAATCTGTTTAAATTACAGGTTGTAATGCAACAAAATAGGAAAATGCCAATGGGGATAAATACTTTTGCAAGGCCTGTAAATATATCCATGTATGTCTTTCTCTCAGGCGTTTACAGGTGGGCTGCGTAAGTACCTGCATTACTACCGGGCCTGTGTCCTCAGCACCCCTCCCACCCTCAGCCTGCTCACCATCGGCTTCCTGTTCCGCAAGGTGGGCCGGCAGCTCAGGTAAGACCCTTACTCACAGGTCAATAACCACCATGAAATTAGGCACACAGTTCCCTAAACTTGATCATCTAACTAACACTGAATTCCTACAAGACTGTATGTAGTCACTAAATGTCATTCCAACCAATTGCATGTGCATTGTTTAGGATAGTTGATCTATTTTCAACTAATAGCTATATTTTAGGAATTGACGCAGTGTTACGCTGTGTAGTGTCCCCCAGTCAGGCTCCTGTTTATTCTGTGTTGTAGGTATTTGTCCGAGTTGTGCTGTGTGGATGGGGCATCTGGTGTGGGCAAGGCTACCTTCCCTGTGGTAAGTTACATTACACCCCTCTGATACACCACCCTCCTTTCTGTATGCATACTCACACTCTCTGTCTGTTTGTCTCAGACATTTAGAAGTGTATGTAACTCAATAGTTTAACTCAGCCAGTATCTTGTCTTCTTCAGGGTGTGAAGCTGCTCTCCTACCTGTACAACGAGGCCCAGAGCAACTGCAGCAATGAGAACTACCCCGTGCTGCTGTCCCTGCTGAAGAGCAGCTGTGAGCCCTACACACGGTCAGTCAGTCATCCCAGCCTTTGTCTGAGACATCACACTGACAATGTCCGCTGATCTGTCTCACCTATCCCACATGGAATCTATGCTAACCTGCATCACCAAAACGCGTTCGAGATGCTTGTAAACAACCTGTCCTGGCCTGGTTGTCCGCCTGACTGATCCTGTTCTCTGTGTGTGTAGATTTGTGTCAGACTGGGTGTACAGTGGAGTGTTCCGGGACGTGTATGGAGAGTTCATGATCCAGGTCAACGAGGACTACCTAAGCTTCAGAGGTCAGAACATTACACTGCCTGTTAACAGTACTCTGCATGTACAGTGTTGATTGTAGTGACCGAAGTACAACACCCAGCAACCTCGTCAAGCAGTTCAACCCTTTTGTGGTAAAGATGTTGGACTGACGGCTCCAGGGACCCGGGTTTGAGTTCAGGTTGGGCTACACCCCGAATTAGCTAATTCCCTATACCACAGTCAGGGACAGACAGTATCACTTTTAAGATTTGCTGTGGTTTAGAGCAGGGTTTCCCAAACTCGGTCCTGGGGCTCCCCCTGGGTGCATGTTTTGGTTTTTGCCCTAGCACTACACAGCTGATTCAAATATCTAACTCATCATCAAGCTTTGATTATTTGAATCAGCTGTGTAGTGCTCAGTCAAAAACCAAAACGAGCACCCAGGGGGGGCCACAGGACAGAGTTTGGGAAACCCTGCTTTAGAGGACTATTAGCTGATCTGCCACACTTCATCATGCCTGCAGGGAACCTACCTAGTGTTTCTCACTCCTGATTTTGAAGGACACACTAATGTCACTTGCTCTATTCCAAGAGTCAGTTAGTGAAGCAATCAGTGGAGCTTGCTTGGCAATGGCAAGCCTCTGGGTTAGGATTTCTTCATGAAATAAATTCTGGTGAATTCAAGCCCCCCCAGTGCCTGTATTAGGGTACACAGGTCTAACCTATTATCATTTCCTAGTAGTTTTTTCTATAGTAGGACCTAAACACCCAACATGAAAAACTCCTGACCCTACTGTAATAGCTTTAGGAAAAACTCATTTCCTAGTCATTCCTGCTGTACCTCACAACCCTCCCCTTCTCTCTCTCCCCTTAGACAAGCACTTCTGGGTGCAGGGCTACACCCTGATCTCCCGTGATGTGGAGGACTGCGTGCCTGTCTTCCTCCGACACATAGCCAACGACGTGTACGTCTGCGGGAAGACCATCAACCTGCTCAAGATCTGCTGTCCCCAGGTCAGTGGTAATAGGTCATTTACACAGCCATAGAGTCTCACACTGTCTCGTCCTTGGGCCAGTGAATACTAGGATGAAGTTACTTTCCCTGGACACTGATCTAAGGTCTTATTGTGTTTTTTTCTCCTCTAATGGTTAAAGTTAGGCTCTGGGAAGGGACTGAGCTGATCCTAGATCTGTACTTACGCAAACCACTACCCAGAGCAGCTTAGCAGCCCAAAGTTAACTCTGGTCTAGGATCAGCTGTAAATGTAACTCCTGTCTGAAATTGTCTCTCTGCCGCAGCATTACATCTGCTGGTCGGAGCTGCCCGTGCCTCGCATCGCTGTCACCTTCTCCCTGCAGGAAGTAGAGGAGATAGAGAGGGACTGTGCCGTGTACCGAGGGCGCATGGAGAGGATCGCCAAGCACAGCGCCACCAGTAGGGAGGAACAGGTACTGCAGCAAATCATCAAGGACCCAAGACTATCCTGAGAAATTCATGAAACTCAAACTATAGTGGAAAAACCATATATTAATAATACATAGGATTTTTATAGGGCTTTTTTAAACCCCAAATATGCTTTAAAGTGTAGGGCTTTGATGTTAATTGGAGATTTGTGTGAAAATGTTTGTTCTACGCTTCTCTGCTTTGGATTCAGATTTTGATAGATAGAAGGAGAAGAGAGAGAGAGAGAAGGAATGAGAGAGAGAGGGAAAGCCCCAGTAATGGACCATTAAGCTGATGTACAGATACTCGATTTGAAACCTTCTGTGATCTACTGTGCAAATCCATGGCCTATTTTCCAGCTAGAACAGAAGCGGGAGAAGATAGCAGATAGCTCTCTGTTAATGATGGTCTGTGTCTGTTCTCTCTGTCTTTGTTGCTAGGCCCTGCGCACAGAGCAGGCACGCCAGGAACTGATCAATCAGGTCAGGCAGTCGGCCGCCAAGACCCTGGAGAGCATCCGCGGTGAGAGGGACACACACAGTAACACATGCAGGGCCTAAAATTAACACCTGCCAAACGTGGGTAGATTTTGGCATTGGCGGGTAAGAATGTCTAAATCACCAACCACGTTGGCACGTGGTAACACTCCGGGCTCTACAGTGTGAACATTGAATAAAAATAGTCAGAATGGGCACAAGTGCGAGTGTGATTTATAGCAAAATAAATGCAGTAGCTGTTTTCAAAGTATTTCTGCTGTTTGGTTTCATATCTGGTAACGTTATAGCTATCCCACCTCGCGCAGCGACACTGCCTGTCTGGGGGGCTATGAGCACTGTGAGTGCTGAAAGATACCTTTTTAGAAGCTGTGGGCTCAAAAGTCTACTAAAGTGAAACTTTGTCCTCGTGTTTCTTGGCTATTTACATTGTTTTGTTCACAAGCTAGGTTGCTTTTCAATGTTTGAGTTTGCTCCCACTGCTAGCAAAAAGAGACATCATTGGTCTCTACTAGTGACATTCTCACAGGCACACATGATGACTAGAGTGACCCTGTTACCAAGGTAACCTTAAAGGAATCAGCTAAACATTTTTGTCTGATATTTTTGTTAAAATACTCAGGTCACAGAATATTAAATTAAATTGAGCAATATACCACATTACTTCTTACTAGTAATACATTTCTTGTTTTAGAAACATTACTAAGCATGCTCATATGTTTTTGTGTGTTTGTGTAATTATGGCAAAAAAATAACAAATCGGAGTGGCAGGTAGATTTTTAAAATCTACTTGCCACAGTGGCTATTATACAAAAAAGTTAGTTTTAGGCCCTGAACAAATGCAATACACACACTGGTACACACACACACACATGCAGATGCACACACAAACACCTCGCTACAACACTGATTATATCTTACAGGATCTTTACAACATTGCTCACAACACTGATTACACCCCAAAAGAACATGTCACACCACTCTAAGAGCCCTCTATAACCCTAAGGGATCCTCACAGAGACGGAAGGGAGAAGGGGGGCTGATATGAGTGAGAAAAGGCTTTGAACAGCTTCCAGCACTGCAGGGTGTAAAATCTAATCATCGCTCACATAGTTTAAGAAACTGCTCATATCATTTATTACTTCAAAGATGTGCAGTGGGAAGTGAATGAAGCTTGGGCCAAGTACTGCTGTGTGTGTGTGTGTGTGTGCGTGCATGTGTGTGCGTGCATGTGTGTACTGTGTGCGTAAGAGTCTGTGTGTGTACTGTAGGGGGTAACCAGCCTGCTGCTCTCTCTCTCGCCCCCTGCAGGGCGCCAGGTGTCGCAGCGTCTGGCCGACGAGGCAAAGAAGAGGGAACGCTTTGAAGAGCTGAGACAGCACCTGGAACAGGAACAAGAGGTGGGACAGAGAGAGAGAAAGGGAGAGGGTTACACTTTACTCAACTGTCTCCCTTTTGACCTTCATATCTTCACAAACTAAAGACGGAGAGAGAGAAAGAAGGAATGAGAGAAAAACAATTACTCTTTAACTCTGTTTTGCATCATATAAACACCAGCTAGGAACACAACACTATGTCCTTTAATCTTCAGAGCTGTGTTACTGTTGTCTTGCCTCAGCTGTAGAGTGTGTGTAACCTGCGTGTATGTGACCTTTGTGTGTGTAACCCATGTCTGTGTGTAACCCATGTCTGTACATGTGTGTGATTGTTGCAGTGGCACAGTGTAGCCAGGAGGAAGGAGCAGGAGGATGAATACAGCTTTGCCAGAGAGCTGAGAGACAGAGAGAAGCGACTACAGGCCCTGGAGGAGCAGCTGGAGATCAGAGCCAGGTCTGGCCACTAGGGCGCGTCACCACACCATACCCACATTACCTTTTTTAAAAAAGCGTTATTTTAAGTTATATTTGTTTACAAAGTCTCCTAAGACAATACAAGCCAAAATAATAGCTTTACATTTGGTTATTATGATAAAGGTAAGAGTTGCACTAATCTCATAATCAAATCATGACATTATCTTGATCTTCAAGACCCTTAAATAACCTGAGATAACAATGCATCCTGGGCCTCAGGAAGGAACTGATTGCCCAGTACAGCCACCTATCAGAGGAAGCGGCCAAGAGGGAGTGGCGGGCCATGTGGAGGGTTCAGCGAATGAGACTGGACGATTCCCGGGCCCAGTTCCTACAGCAAGACCAACAGGAGACTGAGGTCAGTAGTACTCTCTCTTATACACGCAAGGTCTGTCGAAGGAGGTTACTTAGAATGGTGTAAATTAGAGGTCTTCACAGGTCCAAAAAGTTGGACCCGTTCCGAAATGGACCTGTGATTTCCCACCCGGACCCGATATGCATAAATACATTTTTAAAATATAGAGACCAGTTCCGAACGGACCCGAAGACAACTAGACCCGTTCCGTTATAGACCTGGTCAGATGCAGACCCGGTCCAATACGATCTGAGTGAGGGAAGCAGCAGCAAAGTCATTTAAGCTACTTTATTAACCGGAGCTGAAACAAAGCGAGAGGAGGGAGAGAGGTGCGTCTAGCAAGCGGGGGAGGGGCTGTACTGTGAGCGGTGACATTGGGAGGAGGGAGGGACCGACCAAGCAAATTCGCGTTATAGTACAGTCGTGGTCAAAAGTTTAGAGAATGACACAAGTATTGGTCTTCACAAAATTCGCTGCTTCAGTGTTATGACATATTTTTGTGTGATGTTACTATGGTATACTGAAGTATAATTACAAGCATTCCATAAGTGTCAAAGGCCTTTATTGACAATTACATTAAGTTTATGCAAAGAGTCAATATTTGCAGTGTTGACCCTTCTTTTTCAAGACCTCTGCAATCTGCCCAGGCATGCTGTCAACTAACTTCTGGGCCACATCCTGACTGATGGCAGCCCATTCTTGCATAATCACTGCTTGGGAGTTTGTCGGAATTTGTTGGTTTTTGTTTGTCCACCCGCCTCTTGAGGATCGACCACAAGTTCTCAATGGGATTAATGTCTGGGGAGTTTCCTGGCCACTTAGTTATCACTTTTGCCTTATGGCAAGGTGCTCCATCATGCTGGAAAAGTCATTGGTCGTCACCAAACTGTTCTTGGATGGTTGGGAGAAGTTGCTCTTGGAGGATGTGTTGGTACCATTCTTTATTCATGGCTGTGTTCTTAGGCAAAATTGTGAGTGAGCCCACTCCCTTGGCTGAGAAGCAACCCCACACATGAATGGTCTCAGGATGCTTTACTGTTGGCATGACACAGGACTGATGGTAGCGCTCACCTTGTCTTCTCCGGACAAGGTGTTTTCCGGATGCCCCAAACAATCGGAAAGGGGATTCATCAGAGAAAATGACTTTACCCCAGTCCTCAGCAGTCCAATCCCTGTACCTTTTGCAGAACATCAGTCTGTCCCTGATGTTTTCCTGGAGAGAAGTGGCTTCTTTGCTGCCCTTCTAGACACCAGGCCATCCTCCAAAAGTCTTCACCTCACTGTGCGTGCAGATGCACTCTCACCTGCCTGCTGCCATTCCTGAGCAAGCTCTGCACTGGTGGTGCCCCGATCCCGCAGCTGAATCAACTTTAGGAGACGGTCCTGGCACTTGCTGGACTTTCTTGGGCGCCCTGACGCCTTCTTCACAACAATTTAACCTCTCTCCTTGAAGTTCTTGATGATCCGATAAATGGTTGATTTAGGTGCAATCTTACTAGCAGCAATATCTTTGCCTGTGAAGCCCTTTTTGTGCAAAGCAATGGTGACGGCACATGTTTCCTTGCAGGTAACCATTGTTAACAGAGGAAGAACAATGATTTCAAGCACCACCCTCCTTTTAAAGCTTCCAGTCTGTTATTCTAACTCAATCAGCATGACAGAGTGATCTCCAGCCTTGTCCTCGTCAACACTCTCACCTGTGTTAATGAGAGAATCACTGACATGATGGCAGCTGGTCCTTTTGTGGCAGGGCTGAAATGCAGTGGAAATGTTTTTTGGGGATTCATTCATTTTCATGGCAAAGAGGGACTTTGCAATTAATTGCAATTAATCTGATCACTCTTCATGACATTCTGGAGTATATGCAAATTGCCATCATCAAAACTGAGGCAGCAGACTTTGTGAAAATTAGTATTTGTGTCATTCTCAAAACTTTTGACCACGACTGTAGACTAATAGCTGCCGTAGCTAGGTTATTTATCATCAAATATGATTACGTAGTACCTGTCTTGGACTGCATCAAACCGGGAGAAGCTAGCTAACGTTAGCTAACTAGGCTAACTATGCTGCAGTGCATGCGCTTTCTCATCCTACAGTTACAAATAACAACTCCATTCAGAATATTAAGTAGCAGCCTGCCTGTTGGTCGTTGTAGCCTGTCCTTCTCTTTTAACTTTTAATTCTGTCATTTTAATTCCATCTTCCATTGATTAGATATCTCCTAACTTTTGCCACACACGGAGCAAGGCTCTCTGACTAGCCTGTTGCCTCTTTGATGACTTATGATTGGCAAACAACAACAAGCTACACGTGCCACGCTCCACTCTCATGAAAAGCAAGAGTAGCAGCATAAATGATACCATTTCTCTCTCTCTCTACTGCAGCATTCACGTTTGGATCTGTACGGGCCCTTCCAGACCAGTCAGTTAAGACCGTGACGATCATATCAGACTCCACTCAGACCCGTGACATTATTTAGAATTCAGGTCCAGATCGGGTTTCGGGTACAGGTGGATCTGTGAAGACCTCTAGTGTAAATCATGTTTGGCGGTGTGGTTTTATATGATGATGTTGATTAATATGATTGTGATGATGTTGATTAATATGATTGTGATGATGATGCAGTAATGTACTATTCTTATCTAAACCCCTAGGCTATTCTGGAGAAGTATCCTGTGGGAGGGCAGAGACCCCCTCTGGAAATACTACAGCCAGCTCCAGCTCAGACCAATCAACCATCAGCACAGGTATGTAAGTGTGTGGGGTGGCATAACGTAAAATAAATCAAGCCTATGTAAAACTGCCATGCCAATCCACTCATAGAAGTGTAAGCTTGACTGAGAGTGTGATCTCTGCTCTTTGCCCTAACCTCGCTGTTCCCATCCCTGTCTTGTACAGGAGTCTCTATCCCCAGAGCCCTGTGAGCAGCAGTCAGGGGAGCCAACCCAGGCCCCCCTCCACCACCAATCCTCTCCCCCTGCACCCTCCTTCACGAAACTCGACCCGACCCTCATCTCAGAGCACATCGACGTTAATGACTTCCTGCCCAAGCCGGCCGACAGCCTGCAGGTGGACCATGCCCTACAGGAGATTGGGTCTGACCTCCCGGAGGCTCCTGCTCCTCCTAAACCCATAGACTATGACTTTAGCGCCCCCTACAGTCCCCTTGAGGGAGTGACGGCACCGGCCCTGGCTAGACCTCGCTGGGGTCCTGCAGTACAGCCAGACATGGCTCACCCTCAAATCCCAACAGGTCCCCCTGTGTCCACTCTAGGCATAGGGTGTGTTGTGTCTGGGACTGAAGCTCTCCCATCTCCACTACCTGGAAGTACCTACGGCCATTCTTCAGACTCCACTCTGGGTGTAGGGTGTGTGGTGTCAGGAGCTGAGGTCCTGGAGGCCCTCCCCAGGCCCAGTCTCCACGGCCAGGCCTCCCAGTCTAGCATCCCCCTGGGCCAGTACTCCTCTGATGTGCCCTTGGCTCTCCACACAGCCAATGTCCACGGACACCCCTCACAGACCACAGTGCAGCTGGTGGATGGAAGTGAGGCAAAGCAGATGGACAGCAGGCAGGAGAATACGGAAGACCCATCAGCCCCAGAGGGCATCGTAACAGAGGCTGAAGGGACTGTAGAGACATCAAGCCAGGTGGAGATGAAGCCAGCAGATATAGAGAAACCAGACAGTGTTGGAGCAGAGGAACAGACGGCTGGTTCTCTCAGGGATGCTGCTGCCTCCTCCACCCCAGAGCAGGGCCATGACAGTGGGTATCACCCAGTACAGGCCTCCCCTTCCCCCTCCAGTGTGTCAGAGCTCCCTACTGCCAACATTAAAGGCCATGCCTCAGATGCTCATATCAAAGTCGGAGAGCATGTCTCAGATGTGGAAGCCCCTCTCCCTTCTCAAAACGTTCATGGTCACTCATCTGATGCTAACATAAAGGTAGGAGAGTTTGTTTCGGAGGTGACTGCTCCTCTTCCGACCGCCAATGTTCACGGTCACTCATCTGACGCTCATATTAAAGTCGGAGAGCATGTTTCAGATGTGGAAGCCCCTTTCCCTTCTCAAAACGTTCATGGTCACTCATCTGATGCTAACATAAAGGTAGGAGAGTTTGTTTCGGAGGTGACTGCTCCTCTTCTGACCGCCAATGTTCACGGTCACGCATCTGACGCTCATATTAAAGTTGGAGAGCACGTTTCAGAAGTGGTCGCCTCCCTTTTCACCCAGAACATTCACGGTCATGCCTCGGACGCGCACATCAAGGTCGGGGAGCACATGTCAGAAGAGGTCGCCTCCATTCACACCCAAAACATCCACGGTCACTCATCCGACACTCACTTCAAGGCGGGGGAGTTTGTGTTGGACGCAGAGCCCTCCCGACCACGCTGGAGCAAGCATGGTCACGCCTCAGACTGCACACTTCAAGTAGGCTGTGTGATGTCAGGCACAGAACCAGTACCCTCTCCTTTACCTGGTAGCACCTACGGCCATTCCTCTGAGTCGACTCTAGGCATAGGGTGTGTTGTTTCTGGGGTTGAACCCCTTCATGCTCCTCTACCTGGAAGTGACTTTGGACACTCCTCAGACTCAACCCTGGGTGGAGGGTGTGTGGTGTCAGGAACGGTAACCCTTCCTTCTCCGATACCCGGAAGTGACTACGGCCATTCGTCAGATTCAGCGATGGGCGGAGGGTGCGTGATATCTGGGATTGAACCCCTTCGAGCTCCTCTTCCCGGCAGCAACTTCGGACAGTCCTCAGACTCCACTCTGGGCATAGGGTGTGTGGTGTCGGGTGTAAACCCTCTGCCCTCCCCCATCCCTGGCAGTACCTACGGCCACAGCTCAGACTCTGCCCTGGGAGTGGGCTGTAAGGTGAAGGAGACTGGTAATGAATATGACGCCAGGACCCTAGAGCAGCAGGAGCAGCAGCGGCTGGCCGAGGGCATCTCGTCCTGGGCAGCGGGCTTGGCTCTGTCCCCTGGAGAGAGCTCAGAGAGGGAGTACCTCCGTTCCCTGGCTGCTCAGTACCAGGTGGAGCAGTACGAAGACTGCTACAGTCTCATGAGTGAGTCATGTCAAATACACATAGGCCTACATGTACAAATACTGTATATTGCAGTTGACTCCTGATAAGGGCTCTTCACACACACATTCATGACAGCCCCAAGTCATTGCATCATACGGTATCAGGAATAGACTGCTCTGGTCTAAAATAGCACAGTGGTACTCGATCAATTGCACAACACTAATGTAAAGCAACTTTTAAACTAAGATGACCAAATGTTGAATGTATAATATACCTACCATCTAACTGAAAACACATCAATGACTGAAACGTACAATCAGGCAATGGTACATTAATATAAACAAAATGTTTTAAGTAGAATCTCACTGTGTGTTTCTGTGTGCTGTGTCCCCTCCACAGCATTGGCCCCAGAGTGTCACCCCCTGCATCAGGTGACGCGGGGCCCCTGGGGCCTCCCGGTGGACCCGTCACTCCGCAGGGCCACAGACACCACGGTGGTGCAGCTTAGTGGGATGGTCTCCCTGCCCGTCCTCATGAAGCACTCTGTCACCACCCCACTCATCACACAGTGAGTGTGTGTGTTCCTTTTTAGGAAAGAAGGAGTCCACATCTCTATTTGTGGGCCTATCACTGACTGTTTGCTACTCCTGTTAACCCCCCTTCTCTCTTTCTCTCTGTCTCTCAGTGTATCCCTGGTGAACAAGGCGGTGGTGGACTACTACTTCGTAGAGCTTGGAGTGGAGAGGCACTTTGAGGCCCTCAGGCACTTCCTGCTCATGGAGGACGGGGAGTTTGCCCAGTCTCTCAGTGACCTGATCTTTGAAAAGGTGAAATGGAGCTATGGGAGTAGTCTTACCTACAGTGCCTTCAGAAAGTATTCATACCCCTTGACTTACTCCACATTTTATAGTGTTACAGCCTGAATTCAAAATGGATTAAATATTTATTTTTTCTCACCCATCTACACACACTACCCCATAACGACAAAGTGAAAACATATGTTTTTAGAAATGTTTGTAAATGTATTTAAAATTAAATACAGAAATATCTCATTTACGTAAGTGTTCACACCCCTGAGTCAATACTTTGTAGAAGCACCTTTGGCAGCGATTACAGCTGTGAGTCTTTCTGGGTAAGGCTCTAAAAGCTTTGCACACCTGTATTGTACAATATTTGCCCATTATTCTTTTCAAAACTGTAACTCGGCCACTCAGGAACATTCATTGTCTTCTTTGTAAGCATCTCCAGTGTAGATTTGGCCTTGTGTTTTAGGTTATTGTAAGCCGACTGAACCAGGTTTTCGTCTAGGATTTTGTCTGTGCTTAGCTCCATTCCGTTTCTTTTTTTTAATCCTGAAAAACTCCCCATGATTACAAGCATACCCATAACATGATGTAGCCACCACTATGCTTGAAAATATGAAGAGTGGTACTCAGTGATGTGTTGTGTTGGATTTGCCAGAAACGTAATGCTTTGTATTCAGGACATAAAGTTCATTTCTTAGCCAATTTTTTTTACAGTTTTACTTTAGTGCCAGTTTTCTCCTATCATAGCCATTAAACTCTGTAACTGTTTTAAAGTCACCATTGGCCTCATGGTGGCCTGAGCTGTTTCCTTCCTCTCTGGCAACTGAGTTAGGAAGGACACCTGTATCCTTCTAGTGACTGGGTGTATTGATACACCATCCAAAGTGTAATTACTAACTTCACCATGCTCAAAGGGATATTCAATGTCTGCTTTTTTTATTTTTACCCATCTACCAATAGGTGCCCATCTTTACGAGGCATTGGAAAACCCTCCCTTTGTGGTTGAATCTGTGTTTGAAATTCACTGCTCGTCTGAGGGACCTTACAGATAATTGTATGTGTGGGGTACAAAGATGAGGTAGTCATTCAAAAATCATGTTCAACACTATTATTGCACACAGAGTGAGTCAATGCAACTTGTTATGTGACTTAAGCACATTTTTACTCCTGAACTTATTTAGGCTTGCCATAACGAAGGGGCTAATTATTGAATTGACATTTCACCTTTTCATTTTTAATTCATTAAAAACATAATTCCACTTTGACAGTATGGGATATTGTGTGTAGGCCAGTGACCAAAAAATCTCAATGTAATACATTTTTTATTCAAGCTGTAACACAACAAAATGTGAAAAAGTCAAGGGGTGTGAATACTTTCTGAAGGCACTGTTTGATGGGCGTTTCATGTACCTGTGTTTTTTCTGTATGTGCATATGTCTGTGTATCTGTGTTTTGCCTGGGTGTGTATTTGCTGTGTGTTTTGTCTTTCAGTCTGTTTTATCTGTCTGGGTGGGTCTATGTCTCTGTTTTGTCCGTATGTCTCCATATGTAATCCCTGTGTTCTCCTCCGTCAGATGGGCAGTGGTCAGACTCCTGGAGAGCTGTTGACTCCTCTGGTCCTGAACTCCATCCTGAGCAAGGCTCTTCAGTACAGTGTTCATGGAGACAGTTCCTTGGCCCCTAACTTCACCTTCGCCCTGCGCTTCCTCCCTGAGACCTTCCACCCTCACGCCCCCGATGCACTCAACTGCCTGGAGCTACGCTACAAGGTCAGAGGAGAGAGTGTGTGGGTGCAGTAGGTTGCTGACGTCACTGAAATTGTGATGTAGTACTGTTCTTGGTATGGAAAATGATATCGGATAACAGTTTGATCCTCTTGAATTCATTTGGAGAGCGGCTTTTTGAAGACTTTTCTACCGTCCCTCATACTCTCTTTTTCTCTCCCTCCCTCTGTCTCTCAGGTGGACTGGCCGTTGAACATCATAATCACAGACAGCTGTATGAACAAGTACAACCGTCTCTTCTCCTTCCTGCTGCAGCTCAAACACATGGTGTGGAGCCTCAGAGACGTCTGGTTTCACCTCAAGAGGACCGGTAAGGGCTCCATCTCTGGAATAGAATTAAGAAAAAAAGCCCTGCAGAAAGGGAATAAGGAAAGGAAGGGAATAAGAAAAGAAAGGGAATAAGGAAAGAAAGGGAATAAGGAAAGAAAGGGAATAAGGAAAGAAAGGGAATAAGGAAAGAAAGGGAATAAATGGAATAAAGGAAAGAAAGGGAATAAGGAAAGGAAGGGAATAAGGAAAGAAAGAGAATAAGGAAAGAAAGGGAATAAGGAAAGAAAAGGAAAAGGAAAGAAAGGGAATAAGGAAAGAAAGGGAATAAAGGAAAGAAAGGGAATAAAGGGAATAAGGAAATAAAGGAAAGAAAGGCATACCGCTGCTCTCAAGTGTTTTAATACACTCTGCACTACATCAGTTATTTTAAAGCGCTAAGGAGCAGCATATTTAATGTGCAGGCTTTTCTTTATTTAAAGCTCTAGTCATAATTATGCCACGACCCAAAAGTAACCCATAAAATAATGTGTACCTGTTCGTGTCCCCCAGCGCTGGTGAAAGGGGCGGGCCGCTCGGTGCAGTTCCGCCAGCTGCAGTTGTACAGACACGAGATGCAACACTTTGTAAAGGTGATCCAGGGCTACATCGCTAACCAGATCCTGCAGGTGTCATGGTTAGAGTTCACCACCAAGCTGGCCGGTGCCTCAGACCTGGACGCCATACACCGCATACACGCCGACTACCTCAACAGAGCTATCTTCAGGTTAGAGACATACCCACATACACGCCGACTACCTCAACACATTATACATGAATCCTACTCTAGACTTTAAACTCAGCCTGCTCTTAACATGTTATCTTTAACTCAATATGAAGCCTACATCTGTCCTTCATAGAATACTGTATCCATTTCCTCTCCTCCCCTCCCAGGGGTCTGCTGACAGAGAAGGCAGCTCCAGTCATGAACATCATCCACAGTATCTTCAGTCTGATCCTGAAGTTCCGGGCCCAGCTGATCGCACAACCCTGGGACAGCCAGCAGGGGGAGACAGTGCACCCCAGTTTCATCGCCATGCAGCAGTCATACAACACCTTCAAATACTACTCCCACTTTCTCTTCAAAGGTAAGGACCGGGTCAACGCCTCACTGACCTCTGGTGATCTTTCTAATGAGAGTTGAGGGTAGTTTCTATCTGGAGAAAGTGATATGTTCAATTCCAAATCAACATCTGGCAGTCCTTATTCCTGAAAACCTCTTGTTGCAGTGGTTAGTTGGTCACATACACATATTTAGCAGATGTTATTGCAGGTGTAGTGAAATGCTTGTGTTCCTAGCTCCAACAGTGCAGTAATATCTTAACAATACACACAAATCTAAAAGTAAAATAATGGAATTAAGAAATATATAAATATTAGGACGAGCAATGTCGGAGTGGCATTGACTAAAATACAGTAGAATACAGTATATACATATGAAATGAGTAAAACAGTATGTAAACATTACTAAGGTGACCAGTGATTCCATGTCTATGTAAATAGGGCAGCAGCCTCTAAGGTGCAGGGTTGAGTAACCGGGTGGAAGCCAGCGACTAAGTTCAGGGCAGGGTACTGGGTGGAGGCTGGCTAGTGATGGCTGTTTAACAGTCTGATGGCCTTGAGATAGAAGCTGGTTTTCAGTCTCTCTGTCCCAGCTTTGATGCACCTGTACTGACCGTGCCTTCTGGATGATAGCGGGGTGAACAGGCCGTGGCTCGGGTGGCTGAGGTCCTTGATGATCTTCTTGGCCTTCCTTTGACACCGGGTGCTGTAGGTGTCCTGAAGGGCAGGCAGTGTGCTCCCGGTGATGCGTTTGGCTGACCACACCACCCTCTGGAGAGCCCTGTGGTTGCGGGTGGTGCAGTTGCTGTACCAGGCGGTGATACAGCCCGACAGGATGCTCTCAATGGTGCATCTGTAAAAGTTAGTGAGGGTCTTATGGGCCGAGCCGAATTTCTTCAGCCTCCTGACGTTGAAGAGGCGGTGTTGCACTGCCTTCACCACAATGTCTGTGTGGGTGGACCATTTTAGATTGTCAGTGATGTGTACGCCGAGAAACTGAAGCTTTTCACCTTCTCCACTGCGGTCCCGTCGATTTGGATGGGGGCATGCTCCCCCTGCTGCCTCCTGAAGTCCACGATCAGCTCCTTCGTTTTGTTGAGGAAGAGGTTATTTTCCTGGCACCAGTCCGCCAGGGCCCTCACCTCCCCTCTGTAGGCTGTCTCGTCATTGTTGGTGTTCTGGCCTACTAGTGTTGTGTCGTCTTAAAACTTAATGACTGAGTTGGAGGCATGCATGGCCATGCTGTCATGGGTGAACAGGGAGTACTGGAGGGGACTGAGCATGCACCCTTGTGGAGCCACTGTGTTGAGGATCAGCATAGTGGTGTTGTTTCCTACCTTCACCACCTGGGGGCAGCCCGTCAGGAAGTCCAGGACCCAGTTGCACAGGGCAGGGTTCAGACTCATATTCAATCTCTCCCTATCCCAGTCTGCTGTCCCCACTTGCTTCAAGATGTCCACCATTGTTCCTGTACCCAAGAAAGCAAAGGTAGAACTAAATTACTATCGCCCCGTAGCACTCACTTCTGTCATCATGAAGTGCTTTGAGAGGCTAGTGAAGGATCATATCACCTCTACCTTACCTGACACCCTAGACCCACTTCAATTTGCATACCACCCCAATAGATCCACAGACGATGCAATCGCCATCGCATTGCCCTATCCCATCTGAACAAGAGGAATACCTACAGTGAGGGAGAAAAGTATTTGATCCCCTACTGATTTTGTACGTTTGCCCACTGACAAAGAAATTATCAGTCTATAATTTAAATGGTAGGTTTATTTGAACAGTGAGAGATAGAATAACAACAACAAAATCCAGAAAAACGCATGTCAAAAATGTTATAAATTGATTTGCATTTTAATGAGGGAAATAAGTATTTGACCCCCTCTCAATCAGAAAGATTTCTGGCTCCCAGGTGTCTTTTATACAGGTAACAAGCTGAGATTAGGAGCACTCCCTTTAAGAGTGTGCTCCTAAAGGGAGTGCTCCTAATCTCAGCTTGTTACCTGTATAAAAGACACCTGTCCACAGAAGCAATCAATCAATCAATCAGATTCCAAACTCTCCACCATGGCCAAGACCAAAGAGCTCTCCAAGGATGTCAGGGACAGGGGAGGGAATGGCCGGCAGGGATGTAGCTCAGTTGGTAGAGCATGGCATTTGCAATGCCAGGGTTGTGGGTTAGATTCCCACGGGGGGCCAGTATGAAAAAATAAAATAAAAATGTATTCACTCACTAACTGTAAGTCGCTCTGGATAAGAGCGTCTGCTAAAATGACTAAAATGTAAATGTAAAATAGGGAGAGATTGAATATGTCCGTAAACACTCCAGCCAGCTGGTCTGCGCATGCTCTGAGGATGCGGCTAGGGATGCAGTCTGGGTCGGCAGCCTTGCGAGGGTGAACACACTTAAATGTCTTACTCACATCTGCCACAGAGAACGAGAGCCCACAGTCCTCCTGAAACCGGGTGAAGAAGGTGTTTAGCTTGTCTGGGAGCAAGACATCGGTGTCTGCGACGTGGCTGGTCCCTGCCACATACGTCTTGTGTCTGAACCATTGAATTGCGACTCCACTTTGTCTCTGTACTGACGTTTTGCCTGTTTGATTGCCTTACGGAGGGCATAACTGCACTGTTTGTATTCAACCATATTCCAAATCACCCTGCCATGGTTAAATGCGGTGGTTCGCAACTTCATGTTTTAGTCCCATTTGTCTTACATCCCCTCTCTGAAAAGTGTCATGTCAATTAGTCCTTTAACCAATCAGGCAAATGGATCAAATCTCTCTTTGGTGTCTCCTCAGTGGTGACCAAGCTGGTGAACCGAGGATATCAGCCTCACCTGGAGGACTTCCTGCTACGCATCAACTTCAACAACTACTACAAAGACTCCTGAACGTACGTGTGTAGAACACTGTGTGCCTGTGTGTTGTAGATAATCAGACTAGGCCTTGTAGGCGTCTTATTGCCCTAATGTTTATGTGTATAGAAACAAATGATACGTTGAATATTATGTACATGTGTACAAATTTCTCCCCCCACACCCATTGCAATATGTGGTACTGTATATTTGTGGCATGAATAATATACCGTATTAAAGAAACAACATGAGTTGTATTTACATTTTAAATGTACCTCGACAACCTGTTTGACAGCTTCAATGTGCCTGACCATACAGTATTATGCCTCCTGACAACCTAACATGCTGATGCCAAATGTAACAACGCTACCCAAAGCTCAGGTGCCTCTCCTCCGCCCATGCCCACCCCATTCCTAAGCCCTGTATGTCAATTAAAGAAATGCTTCATTTTGTGATGTAAATGGTTTTTTTTTTACTTAAAGGGAGTAATAAAATGTAACTTATATTTATTAAAGATTGCATGTTAATTTTTTTTAGAAAACTATAGGTCAAACAATGAATGTAAAGTTATGTGAAGGGGATACACTGTCATATGCAACCAAAGGTAATTTACAAAAGAGAAATTCCAGCAAAAGAGAGCATTGCACTTGCATTTTTATTTATTTTTTACATTTTCCAGATAGCTTGTATATATTTTCCCTGACAGTGCATTTTACTTAGGAAGCAGAAGGAGCACAGGGGAGTTTGAGCAATATGAAGGGCAGACACTTAAGGAAGATTACAGAAGATGGATCCTCTCTAGGGTTGAATCCTAACTTCCATTTAAGTGAAATATTCACTTCGTCTCCCATCGACATCAATGCATGACTAAGTTAAAATGACTTAAGTGGAAGTAAGGATTCGCCCCTCAACGGTCTCCTTCGTGTTTTAATGAGTAAACAATGCAGGAATGCAAAACCGTCTCTGTCTAGACAGTCATTTAAACAGAATGTCACGAGAGCCCTTGAGGGAAAAGGAGGAAACTGAGTTAGGCCTGATAATGACAGACTAAGAATAACACTCAGACAAAACCCTGTACAAGCTGTTTTAAAGTTGTCAACTCAGCATGCAAGCAAACACCTTGGTCAACACTGAATAACCATGCGGTCCACGCAAAGTCAAGCTTTGACCAATTGTCATTATTATTCCACAATACAAAAACATCTCCCATTCAGAAACAGCGCATACATGACGTTTAGTATGTCAGGTTATCAGGGCTAAAATGGAGAATATACACAAAGGAATACAAGACCTTAAGGCTCTATTCAATCAGATCTGCTTTAGTCGACACGGCTCCTGGCATTATACCTACAGCGGACATTGCCATTTGCTGCACGGAGTCGCATTAAGATAAATCCCATGCAACCTTGTTTACAAGTTGGAACACTGGAATGTGAGACGTAATCTACACCTCGATTAGGATGATAGAAATCCTCATTATTTCGTTTGTTTTTTCAATTTGGGCCTAATTATTTCTATATAGCCTACACTTTCTTGTTCTGAACTTCTAACCGAGTGGGGTGGGTGTGGCTTCGTGACTATGGGCGGATTCGATTATGTTGCGCCACGGAGCACCGGTTTATGGCCCGTGATGTAAACACGCAAAAGCAGCGAGGGAGGAGCGTCCTCCTCAAATCGAACAGTAATCTGCACCGCTCTGTCATGTCAAAGCAGCATGGTACATCATCCAGAAACATATATCTCTTTTCCATAAAATGTTTGAATTTTCAAACTAGTTTTCATTGTGAAGGCAGATAACGTTTTTATCAAAAGCAATCACTTTTGCATGTGAAAACAAAGAATCCTACTCATTACTCCACGTGCTTAACTACGTCACTTTTGTTTTTTAGCAGACTGCCGTGGGCTTTGAATTGGGCACCTGGCCCTGGAGGCAGCCCGGCTCCAAATCGAAGATTAGACTTTCAGCTGGTGCAAAACACACCTACAGGCGCCCGGGCGAGATTAATCGAACACCCTCAATGATTGCAAGAGCAGCTACTCACCGATTTGACGGATCCAACGCAGTTCCACCGCTTTCGCCGGTTAACGCTTGATCTGATTGAATCTAGGCCTTAGTCTTGTTTAGTTTAGCATTCCTCTATTGGTGAATGGTAGGCATTCTGCTTACTTGCGGTTGGTTAATGGAACAATTCAGGAGATATTCTGTATCTGGTTTTGGTTCAGTACCAAAGGCAGACAGTCCTTTAACCTTACTTCATAATGCTGTCGGATAATATCTGAAGTTAGTGCATTCTGCTACAGACATCAAGCCTTTGATTAAATAGAAACCTTGGAAATGCAGTATTGTCTCATAGGAATAAAATATGTACAGTATAATGTCATATGAAGTGCTGCTGACAAGACCTACATGTAAGTCGTCATGGCCATCCATCTCTACACAATACTATACTGCAGCATAGACAATAGAACCACTAAACTCAAAGCTATGAATTGTAAACCTATTAATGTTGGAGAAAGGGACCATCCACCCTGGGGATATTAATTCCACCAGGGAAAATAAAGGGGTAAAATAGTCAACCTAAACATTGTCCCTATGTATAAGTACCTGTACATCACTTCAGTGGTCTTGTGAGAGATACACCATATAGACCCAGCGGGTTTTCCTGGTCAACATGTACCAGACTAGAGCCAGGGGAAGGGCTCATGAGAACATCTCAACCCCACGTGAGGAGGCGTTTGTGGGGGAACCTCTGACTCTCTCCCCTGGTCCTGGTACTGTGAGGCATGGCTAGGCCTCAGACTCCTCCTCATCCGGTGCTCCTCCGTTAGCCGTGTCACTCGTCTCGCTGTCCAGCAGGAGGAACTTGCCATCGTTGGTCAGAGGCATGTTTTTCATCAGCTGGGCTAGAGCCTCCGGGTCCTATATACACACACACACACAGAGACAGAGATTCAGATGCATAGAAATACCAAACAGTATTGAATGTATTATAGGGTTAGATTGAGAATTCAACAATTGAGATTTTAAAACGTACCTTCTTTGCTTCAATAATATCCTTCCCCAAGCTTATCGTGTAACATATCTGTGAATAAAGATATGACACAAATTACATTGTGAAACCGACTAACCCATGGCAAGTAAACGACTAGTAAACTGACATAATGAATGCAGCACATTAATGTGTTTTATCATACCTACCTTCTCTCCCTCTGTGTTGCTCTCAAAGACAAACGCACTAAAGGAGGGCTCTCCCTCCTCGGACCCCTCGCTCCAGTCTCGCCCCTCAACGACGAAGCCCATCAACCTGCCGTTCTCCTGGTGGGCCGCAAACTGGGTCACCTCCTGTAGCTGGAACTGAGGGGGAGGAAGGAATTCATTAACACTGAATACCTACTGCTATCACCAGGAATGAAGCACTAAGTAACAGACAATACACAGTCATTACATAGATTACTACAGTATACTATCAGAGTCAGTGGAGGCTGCTGTGGAGAATGGCTCATTATAATGGCTGGAACGGAGAGAATGGAATGGCATCAAACCATGTGTTTGATACCATTCCACTGATTCCACTCATGCCATTACCACGAGCCCGTCCTCCCCAATTAAGGTGCCACCAACCTCCTGTGATCAGAGTCAACTAAGTAAGATTTTCATGGAACTTACACTGATTCTTGTGACTTGTGTCCGGGGGTCAATCAACCTGTCGTGAAGAAAACACAATTTGTCAACATTGCAAGCAGAGCCGAAGCATAGTGGCAAGGTTAAACTCCCTAGGCACTTTCATGGGCCTCCTGTCTGGCCTGTAATTGTACCTGAGACAGCTGCTGGTGACCATGAGATGGGACTCTGTGGTTCTGAAGATGTTGTGGATGGCTCGGGCCGCCAGCACCTGTCTCATAGCCTCATAGATCACTTCCTGGGTTTGTCCCGAACACACTGCCATGGAGCCCAGGAACCGCACCGCAAACACCTGCTGCAGCAGGGAGTCTGCAGACACGCACACACATCAGGAGACAGAGGATCAGGGGATATGTAGTGCACAAGAGTAGAGCACAAATGAAAACTGGATTGGAGACACTCCTACCGTCGCTTTCAGGGGAGCAGTCATCATCTGTTTCTCCAAAAGGGTTTGTACGCCTGTCAGGATGGAAACGCACACAATTCAACCTAGTAGCGCTATTATTGTACAAATCAGCGAACAGGAAATGGTTCTGTCACAGCAGTTCCTGTGGCGTCGGTTTTACCTCCCTCCGACCCTGTTCTGGTCCTGGAACTCCGAGGCAGGCAGCATGATGTCAAACTGGATGGGTGTCCCTGGAACTATAAGGTCCTCTGGCTCTGGAGCACTGGAGCTCTTCTGGGACGCACTGCTAGAGGACTGCACCCCACCTGGCTTAGCCCTGCAGAGAGAGGGAGGGAGAGGACGAGAGAGACGGAGTGAGTGAAAAAGAGATACAAAAAGTATGATGAGTGTACTATCAGAATTCCTGAAATAACACATGCAGATACTCTTTATTTTCCAGGAAAAGCAAGGTGTTTCCTCTGCATGAGAGGCTAACCTGTCTGGGTTGGGCGAGCCCTCTCCTCTCTTCTCAAAGCTGGTGATGGGAGTGACCGCCTGGATGGCTGTCTGGTTCAGTCTGATGGCCACCGCCTAAAGAGGGGAACAGGGTGCAGCTTCTCTCATTACACTGTAATAATGATAACAGTCCTAACGTTATGCTCTGTGAGTAACACATGGTGCCACAAGAGGGCGTAGTTTGGCTAATTCTATTGAGAACATTATAGGTTGAGGCAGGCATGGCAGATGTCTGTGATCAAATACACTGAATAAACAAAACATTAAGAACACCTGCTCTTTCCATGACATAGACTGACCAGGTGAAAGCTATGATCCCTTATTGATGGCACTTGTTAAATCCACTTACATCAGTGTAGATGAAGGGGAGGAGACAGGTTAAAGAAGGATTTTAAGCCTTGAGACAATTGAGACATGGATTGTGTATGTGTGCCATTCAGAGGGTGAATGGGCGTGACAAAATATTTAAGTGCCTTTGAACGGGGTATGGTAGTAGGTGACAGGGGCACAGGTTTGCGTCAAGAACTGCAACGCTGCTGGGTTTTTCACGCTCAACAGTTTCCTGTGTGTATCAAGAATGGTCCACCACCCTAAGGTCATCCAGTCAAATTGACACCACTGTGGAAGCATTGGCGTCAACATGGGCCAGCATCCCTGTGGAACGCTTTCAACACCTTGTAGAGTCCATGCCACTCAATATTAGGAAGGTGATCCTAATGTTTGGTATATATATATATATATATATATATATATAATATATATATATATATATATACACACTACCAGTCAAAAGTTTGGACACACCTACTCATTCAAGGGTTTTTCTATATTTTTTAATTTTTTTATATTGTAGAATAATAGTGAAGACATCAAAACTATGAAATAACACATATGGAATCATGTAGTAACCAAAAAAGTGTTAAACAAATCAAACTATATTTTATATTTGAGATTATTCAAATAGCCACCCTGTCACGACTTCCTCCGAAGCTGCCTCCTCTCCTTGTTCGTGCAGGCTTCGGCGTTCGTCGTCACTGGCCTTCTAGCCACTGTCGCTCCTCATCTCATCATTCCATTTGTTTTGTCTAGTTTATTACACACACCTGGTTCATATCCCCTCATCAGTACCTGTATAAGTGTTCCCTCTGCCCCCTTGTCTTTGTGTGTGATTGTTTATTGTGGAGGTTAGTTTAGCTCGGTGGAGCTCCTTGTATTTTGTTTAGCCGGGATATTTCACCCTTGTTGTGCCTTGTTGTTTCCCAGTGCGCCTGATTTCCGCACTGGAGTGTTTGACGCATTGCTGCGTACCGCTGTGTTTTCGGAATAAACCCTTTATTCTGTGATTTACCCTCCTGCGCCTGACTCCTTCAAAATCACTCACCACACACCCTTTGCCTTGATGACAGCTTTGCACACTCTTGGCTTTCTCTCAACCAGCTTCATGAGGTAGTCACCTGGAATGCATTTCAATTAACAGTTGTGCCTTGGTAAAAGTTAATTTGTGGAATTTCCTTCTTAATGCGTTTGAACCAATCAGTTGTGTTGTGACAAGGTGGTGGGGTATACACCACCTTGTGGGGTATACACCACTGTGAAGCATGGAGGAGGAGGTGTGATGGTGTGGGGGTGCTTTGCTGGTGACACTATCAGTGATTTATTTAGAATTCAAGGCACACTTAACCAGCATGGCTACCACAGCATTCTGCAGTAGTACGCCATCCCATCTGGTTTGTGCTTAGGGGGACTATCATTGTCTTTTCAACAGGACAATGACCCAACACACTTCCAGGCTGTGTAAGGGCTATTTGACCAAGAAGGAGAGTGATGGAGTGCTGCATCAGATGACCTGGCCTCCACAATCACCCGACCTTAACACAATTGAGATGGTTTGGGATGAGTTGGACCGCAGTGTGAAGGAAAAGCAGCCAACAAGTGCTCAGCATATGTGGGAACTCCTTCAAGACTGTTGGAAAAGCATTCCAAGTGAAGCTGGTTGAGAGAATGCCAAGAGTGTGCAAAGATGTCATCAAGGCAAAGGGAAGCTACTTTGAAGAATATAAAATATAAAATGTATTTTGATTTGTTTAACACTTTTTTGGTTACTACATGAGTCCATGTGTGTTATTTTAATGTAGAAAATAGAAAAATAAAGAAAAAACCTTGAATGAGTAAGTGTGTCCAAACTTTTGACTGGTACTGTATATAAATAAGACATACATAATACATAACAGGCTATGTACACCATATAGGCCTATCAAAAGTATCCATTGGATGCAGTACTTGACCCTACACTGACCCACCAGTTGTTTGCATCATGCTTCCTGGTCTGATTTGTGCCAGATTTAGAATGCTTCTAATTACGTTTGGAATAAACAAATTACTGAGGGGCATTAGGGAGCCATGAGGGCAGAGAGGAAGCAACAGAACAGACGATGCAAAGCACACATCCAAATACGCAGAACCCACTGGTGCAAGCACACATATGCACACACAAGCATGCATGCATACACATACACAGTATAGATAGATTGTCTCAGTCTGTGTTGCTATGTACCGGGGGAATGGGTGGAAGTTCAACTGGGTGGAAGTAGCAGCCTCTGATAATGTGGACTCCTCAGGGTCACTAGATAAGACTAGGTCTGTGTCATAAAACACTAGATCACAGTTCAGACATATCTCATGGGAGCGATCATCTCTAAAACAATCAGGAAATGTGCTTAAAACAGACCGGACCGGACTCTGGAGCTGGAAACATCCTGTTCTCTATCAGTCGATCACTGTGCCCACAGAAATCACAGTGCCCTGCTGCTACTCAGATAGAATGGGCTTGGTGTAAAAACAAAGGGTGTGTCTTCGCCTTATTACAACATACAGATGTAAGATCATAATTTGAGCCAGTTTGCTACAGCAGGAACATAATCCTGTAGCAACAGGAAATGTGAATTATTATGTGGATTATAATTCATGGACATTTTTGTAGGGGTTGGCACATTTTTTTTGTAAGGGAAAATCAAGTCTAACATTTTAAAGTGGAATTAACAAACTTCAAAAGCCTTTTTAAACCTCAAATACACTACAAGTTTAAAATGTCCTGCATTGCAGGAAAGCGCTCCTGCAACAGGGTGATCAAATGAAGATCCTACATCTGTAGTATTGATTATTCATCACAACTGCTTTTAAGTGCTAGGAAAAATTACTGATTTACCACTACTTTATTTTAGTTGATAGGTATCGTTATAACCAACTAGAGGTGGTATATAATATATACTTTACCTCAGGGTTGTCAGTCAGGTAGATCTGTCGGGAAATGTTGTTCAAAGTGCAAATCCACTGGGGAGAAGAAACAGAGGTTAATATTAGACTAGTATTGGCCGTATTAGACGGCCATATCTCAACAAACATCAGAGAGTTCAAATAGCTCCCCTAATGCAGCTTGTGACAAGCAGGCCAGAAAAACTTGCATGAATGAATATGTAGCAATGGCTTTTAACACATGGATGGAAGAAGCCTATAAAACAAACGGGTACAAAAGGTTTGACTGATATGATACATACCTCCTCATATTCCTTTTTGCTCTCTGCTTGTAGAATCATTGACCTGCAACATCACAAGAACACACTTAAAGCACATCATTGTTTGTAGGCCAATAAAACTTATTCTCACAACTCTGTGTTGGACGATGGTCTTGGGGAGGTTTAGTGAAGGTTTAGCGTACGTTTTACCGGAGGGGGAGGTGATCTGAAAACAGTAGCGTCTGTCCTCGCACTCTACGGCCATGACGGAGCTGTTATCTAGGTCCAGCACCATGCCCCCTGCCACAGCCCCTCGCGGCTGGCACATTAGGTTCCCTCCCTGGGTAAAGAAGTAAAGGCGGTCCCAGGCTGTGGTCACCAGGCCCGTCTTACTGTGGGGGAAAGCAGGACAGGACCGTATTCATTAGTCATTAACGAAAACAAGCGTTTTCTGGCGATGTATAGGAGGAAAAGACTGCATCTGACATTTGAGTCATTTAACAGATGCTCTTATCCAGAGCAATTAGGGGTAAGTGCCTTGCTCAAGGGCACATTGACAGATTTTTCACCTAGTCGGCTCAGGATTTGAACCAGCAACCTTTACGGCTACTGATCCAATGCTCTTAACCTCTAGGCTACCTGCCTGCCTCCCTGCCTGCCTTTACTAAAGCACAATGTTGGTTCTGCAATTCTACCTCAATTCTACTTTCTTATATTTAACTATAATTGTAGCTGACAGCCAGGGTTGACAAACAAATTGTTTTCTCTGAAGAACAACGAGTGTAACTTTGAGACACATTTTTATTGGAGTTTAATGGATTAAAACAGGTGCAACTAAAGTTTCCTTTGATAGGGAATAAAAACGAGACCTGTAGACACCAGAATGTCATGCTTGATACCAACTCAACACTATGAAAGACCTGAAACCATCAAACAAGGAGAAGACAGACATCATATAACGGTAGACCAAATTTAAGCAAACACCCTTGAATCAATTAATGAAATCAAAGTTATCCTTACTTCCTAATATTGAGGTAGCCTGCCTTCTGTATAAGCGTGCGGTTGACAGGGACGGGGTCGCGGTCGGGCATGTACACCGTATCCTCCATGGAGAGCAGCTCTCTCTGGGTCAGACGCATGGCCTCAGCCTCCGAGTCCAACTGAGCCTGGATACTTTGTGTCATGCTGGACACTGACACCAGGAAGCTGTCCATTTTCTTCGAGACTAGATCCATGCCTTTCTTATAGAAGTGGATCTGAGAGGGACACAAAGAGAGAAGACATCTGTGCATTCATTGCTTCTCCAGTTCTGACTTGCTGTGGGACCACAGCAATGTGTGGTATCCTGGTTTATTTACATAGCTGACTTGCGGTAGGAGTAAAGAGTGTGTTGATATTGGTTTAACGACTGGTTTACTATAATATAATAATAATATAATATGCCACTTAGCAGACGCTTTTATCCAAAGCGACTTACAGTCATACCTGTAGTAGGGGTTTGGGTGTGTGATATAGGCTATGGTGATTGTACCTGGGCCTGAGTGTATCCTAGCATGGGCTCCAGCATGGCTACTCTCTTGCGGTACTGCAGGGTGTTGAGGGCACAGTAATACTGCATGGAGGCCTGGTGCTGCTTCCTCCTGGAGTAGGCCACCTCCCCCACCAACTCTGCCTTCACCTGCACCACAACACAGTAGTTCGTGAGACACACACACAATTATATGCGCTCACACGCACGCATACACACACACTAACGCAAGTAATTAATAACCCAAATACCCAGTTAATCAGTGGGAGAGCTAAATAGAGCAACATGACCTCTAAACTTAAGTATGTCATGACCTCTCAACTATTATGAGACAGTTATACAGTAGCACATGATGTCATCTAATAGTACCAGCTTTACTTTACTGACTTTATTGTCCCCATGGGGACATTTTTGTTGCAGTATCATGTACACGTTTAAAGTGGCATTTAAATACAGTAGAAAACAAATTGACAATGAAACATTCATAACAGTTACATACCAATAAAAGAGAAGCCTGCTGGCCTTACTGGGTCGATAGGAACATTAGCCCAAGCTGTTTAGGGGGGATATCACACCTGGCACAAATTATTATCTAGTTCTGTTTTTCCTACAGAGGGGTGCCCTATACCTGCACCCAGAGGGGAGTAGTTCAAAGAGGGGAGTAGTTCAAAGTCCAGGTACAGGGGGTGGCTTGGGTCTAAAATGATTTTGTGAGCCTTGCTGAGGGCCCTGACCTTAAAGAGCTCATCCAAGCCTACAGCCTACAGACACTTCTAGTGCATTGTTGTACTGTTAGAGGTTTGGCTAGTACACATCAGTCCCCATCACTACCTTCTCATTCTCCTTCTTCTTGGGCAGTCTGCTGTACTTGACCATGGCAGCCTCGTGCTCTGTGAGGGGGAAGGAGTGGACATGAGTCTGATGATCAGCTGCTGTGTTATAACAAAACAAAACAAAATGGTATCAAATGTTACAACATACATACCATCACAGGCGATGCCAAATACTTCTCTTAATGTGCTTATCTCTGAGAAATCAAATACAGATTCAATGTGTCAAAAACCATGACAAAGCAAAATGTCAGAATCAAACACATGCAAATTGTATTCAAAATGTGTGAAAGCAACGGGCTGATAAGCAGGTGTTTGTAAATTGTGTCTACCTGTAAGGTCCTTCTCTCTGAACTGGATCATGGGAAAAATCATTCTGTCAGCCATCTGAGTGGCCAGCTCTGAGTGTAGTGTGTTCAGCTGGGGAGGACAGAGAACAGAGACAGACACACTCAGCCTTACAACAAAACTAAATTACCCAGAGGCATCCTTGGCTCTCCCGTAATCCCTGAAAACAGCAGGGGTTGATTGATTGTGGTTCAAAAGTGAGTTCAAAAGCAATTAAAATAACTGATTATCACATTCTGATTCGGATTCGGATCTATCCCCATTCTGCAATTTGAGAGCCATCCAAAACGCATTTTCTTGGTCTGCAGATTAATTTAATCCTGTAATTTGTTATCAATATTAAGCATAATACCCTATGCAGTTATCCTCGACTTGGACTGGTTGGTGCATTTAGTTACTAACAGATTAATTAATGTGAGTGATATTTAAAGAAGCCAAATTCAGATAAGTGCTAAATCATCTATCAAGTAAACACTGTGGAAAACCTAAGACCTCTTCAGTTTATTGTGGACTATGGAACAAAGGTCAGAGCAGGATTAGGTATAACCTGCAGGGAGATGGATGCATGCTCTAGGCCAGAGTTGTTCGGCTAGAAGGGCAAACAATGACCTCATTTGTTTGTGGCTACTCTAATGCCACTCCACCACAGGCTAGCGAGGCCCACAGACCCCTGCTGCTCAGTCCATCTGTCCAAACACTCCCACCACTAGACTACACCTCCAGGCCAGCCAGAGTGATTCTCTACCTGGCTCCACCTCCACCTGTCTACCTCTCTCATCCTAGCAGCCTGCGCCCCATAGCCTCTACAGAGAACTTATGAAAGCTCCAATGATTAAATGTGTTCATTGTAATGATAAGGGGAAACCTATTATTCAACTCCCAATGTATACAAATGTGACAGGGGATTTTTGGTATATCACATTTTTGTTCTCTTTTTACCTCCATAGATTCCAAGACTGTTGCACCCCCATATACATGCAATACATCCCCTATTTGCACACAAACACAGTAACACAAACACACGCGCACTGATGCATGAGCCTCACCTCCCCCACAGTTTTAGCAAATTGCTGCAGTGTGCTGATCACCTCCTCATCACCTTTACCAAGGGCAAAATTCTGGAGGAAAAAATAGATGACTTAAACATTCCAAAAAGCACTTCCTCTAGCACATTCCAAAGAGTAATACACTTGAGGCTATTATGTTAAAAATACACAATTTTCATCAAAGTGCTGGCATGTTGCCTTCTCCTGTAAAAGGGCCAAAATGCTTATAAATCCAATGGTAGAATGCTGAGTTTTGTGCTTTCTGAAATAATGTTAGGCAGCAGGTGCATCACAAAACACCGCAGTTAAGTGCATGAGTGTTGCCCAATATTCTCAGTAAGAAAATACTTACTTGCTTCTCATATTCCAGTAGCTGTCTGGACAGCTGTTCTGTAGCCAATCCCATCTCACTCTGACGAACACAGGAAGTGATGTTATTAGCTGTTTATCCCCTGGATGACCCCTCTTACAGGAAACTAACTCTCAGAAACGGCACACATCATGCAAACTAAGTTATTGTATGCTCTCATAAAAAAATCAATGACTCTTCTAATTGGATCGGACACAGGCTTTTGTTTGTGTGCGTGACTGTGTGTGTGTTACCTGGGCTCCATACACCCTCTGCATAGACTGAAGCAGCTGGTTGGTGTAGTCTGTGAGTGTTCCCGCATCTTCCTCAAACACACTGAGCAAAGAGCGAGTCTGTGAAGCAGACAGAGAGGGACATACTGAAATATATGATCAGTGACAGCCAGGGAGACTGAGACGGACAATAGGATCAACAGGCAGGCAGACAGACAAACAGACAGACAGATGCTGACTTAGTCCTAATTATGGGGCTTTTATGACCTTTAGCCTGCTTGTTCACCTGTAATTAATCTGTTTTTCACCTGTAATTGTCTCGAGAAAGGTGTGGTGTGGTAAGGGACAGATCGAAATGTAAAGGGGGAGGGGTGGTCCAAAATACGGGAGGATTGTCAAACTTTTTGCTTTGGGGAGGGTTGTGTGGTTTTTTGGGGGCACAGGGGAGGGTTGTGTGGTTTTTTGGGGGCACAGGGGAGGGTTGTGTGGTTTTTTGGGGGCACAGGGGAGGGTTGTGTGTTTTTTTGGGGGCACAGGGGAATGTAGTGCGTTTTTTCCCTGGTTTACATTCGCTTTTCTGCTTGTATTTTCCCTATAAGGCTATCTTCTGTATACCACCCCTACCTTGTCACAACACAACTGATTTGCTCAAACACATTAAGAAGGAAAGAAATTCCACAAATTTACTTTTAACAAGGCACACCTGTTAATTGAAATGCATTCCAGGTGACTGCCTCATGAAGCTGGTTGAGAGAATGCCAAGAGTGTACAAAGCTGTCATCAAGGCAAAGGGTGGCTATTACGAATAATCTCAAATATAAAATATATTTAGATTTGTTTAACACTTTTTTGGTTACTACATGATTCCATATGTGTTATTTCATTGTGTTGATGTCTTCACTATTATTCTACAATGTAGAAAATAGTAAAAATAAAGAAAAACCCTGGAATTAGTAGGTGTCGAAACTTTTGGCTGGTATATATATATATATACACACAAAGTGCCTTCGGAAAGTATTCAGACCCCTTGACCTTTTCCACATTTTGTTACATTACAGCCTTGTTCTAAAATTGATTAAATTGTTTTTTTCCCTCATCAATCTACACACAATACCCTATAATGACAAAGCAAAAACAGGTTTTTATACATTTTTGTTAATTTATTCAACATAAAAAACGGAAATATCACATTTGCATAAGTATTCAGACCCTTTACTCAGTACTTTGTTGAAGCACCTTTGGCAGTGATTACAGCATTGAGTATTCTTGGGTATGACGCTACAAGGTGAAAGGTGAACCTTCACCCCAGTCTGAAGTCCTGAGCACTCTGGAGCAGGTTTTCATCAAGGATCTCTCTGTACTTTGCTCCGTTCATCTTTGCCTCGATCCTGACTAGTCTCCCAGTCCCTGCCGCTGAAAAACATCCCTACAGCATGATGCTGCCACCACCATGCTTCACAGTAGGGACAGGTTTCCTCCAGATGTGACGCTTGGCATTCAGGCCAAAGAGTTCAATCTTGGTTTCTTCAGACCAGAGAATCTTGTTTCTCATGGTCTGAGAGTCTTTAGGTGCCTTTTGGCAAACTCCAAGCGGGCTGTCATGTGCCTTTTACTGAGGAGTGGCTTTCACCTGGCCACTCTACCATAAAGGCCTGATTGGTGGAGTGCTGCAGCGATGGTTGTCCTTCTGGAAGGTTCTCCCATCTCCACAGAGGAACTCTGGAGCACTGTCAGAGTAAACATCGGGTTCTTGGTCACCTCCCTGACCAAGGCCCTTAGTCCCCAATTGCTCAGTTTAGCCAGGCGGCCAGCTCTAGGAAGAGTCTTTGTTCCAAACTTCTTCCATTTAAGAATGATGGAGGCCACTGTGTTCTTGGTGACCTTGAAGTGCCCGAAGTCAGTAAGCTTTGTTTATTAGTTGTGTAGTGCATTGGCACAGAAACCTCTTGATGGAAAATGTGTTGCCTATATTTTATATAATTATAAATATGGCATCAAAATGTTGAAAATCTGATTTCCCCCCAGCTGATCATTGTCTGCAGCCGGCTCTGATCGTAGTGTATTGAAACAGGCAGGGAGAGTGAGCTTGTCTGTGGTGGTCGGCGAACCCTCAACCTTCTGGCCCATAGCCCTGCGTGGCATCGGCTGTGCCACAAAAGCATGATGAAGTGGCAAAGTCGATATCCACGTTTATAAACACAGGGTCGCTACAGTTATTGTTATTTGTGGTCGTAATTATTTGAAGGGGGTGTTCAATTTATTGTACAGTACAAGGGGAGGGTCATGTGAAAATATGTTTTACTTTGGGGAGGGGGGGTGCTTTTTTTTTATGACACCTTGAGTTGGACCAGCCCCTCCACCCAGTACATTTCGATCTGTCCCTAAGCTGGTATTGGTGCAGCAAAGAGGCACACAGCCTTATCTTGTGTATAGGTTCATATTTACACACCATTTGTAGGCATAGCCTATATTCATATCAGATGCATTACTGTGGCGATTGAAAATGTAATTCAGATTTGCTTCTTGAAATGTGACTCACTCAAATGGATTCCTTGATTTGAAGAGGAAGAACTATGCTGAACTATGCAGAGCAAGACATCAACCCCAGGAATATGTTGAATTTAATCAAACTCAGAGGAGCCAGCCATAAGCTACATATATATTGAAGATGACAAAATAATGTGAATTCATGTATGCTAGATTTTTCTGACACAGCCTATTGTAGCATAAGTGCCAGTGAAGTAGCCTCGCCTAAAGAAATGTAGCCTACATTTGGTTGTGTCTGCAAGTGGACGATATCAAGAAGACTCTTAGCCTAACTGATATGAAGTAGTATTACAGTTAGCGTTATTAAGACTTAATAACAGTAAACTAAACCGATTAACTGGATTACATTTCCACACCACCAAAGCTATTGAGGACAATTAGGTTTACTCAGTGCCTTAAAAAAAGTTATTCCACATGTGCAGTCCATAAAGGCTATTGACCAATTCCAATGGATTCTAATACTCAAAACCCCCTCCCACAGCCCGTAAAATAGGCCCAAATCGGGGTCTTTTCAAAACCAACAGATATGAACACTTATTTTGTCAAACAAATCATCCATGTCAATCGCACCCCATTATCGTCCAAAGAAGACTGAGACTGTCACAATAAACAACGAATCGATGTTTTGACGCATAATTTATCAACAGCCGAACTACTTATGGGGCGATGCGCGACTCATCACGACACTGCTCAAGACTAGACAGGGAAATCCCTTCTCGAATCTCGAGCAATATGCAAATATGAGGCGGCATTTGTTCCTGATAACAATTACGACTTGTGACACATTGTATCAACTTTGTATCGGATACATAGCCAATGAGTGGAATAGGCTACATTCCTATAACAATGAGGCAATTCAAAGCTGTCATTCATCGTCGAGCAGAGTAAATAGCCTACAACAGTGGAGCTGGACTGGCCAATGTGGCATCTCCTACAAGACCTTTCCTCTCAATAACAGCACATAACATGAAAATAGTATAGACCTACCTGAGGACTGTCCTGCAAAGCCTCCTCTAAAAGCAATTTATGGACGGCCGGCATCTTGTTCACAGCAAAGAGAACAGGCTTGAATTATTTAGCGAGTGGACTCTCTTTCCCAGAGAGCTTTGTGGGGATGTGGGTGACACGTATAATTAGCATTTTGTAGGCGGTACCTTAGCAACCAGTAAGCGGTCTTTTAGCTAAGTTCCATATTTATAAATGTACATTTATGAATCTAAAACCTCTGTTTATTATTTTTGACAGTGAAATTGAAAAATATATAAATACAATTTCTCATAACAAAAAAGCAATCAAAACTCTGAATGTTTGTACTTTTTACACTGAATGTCACATGTTTCATGAGCTGAAATGTTGTGCACAATTTTGTTTACATCCCTGTTAGTGAGCATTTCTCCTTTGCCAAAATAATCCATCCACCTGACAGGTGTGGCATATCAAAAAGCTGATTTAACAGCATTATCATTACACAGGTGCACTTTGTGCTGGGGACAATAAAAGGCCACTCTAAAATGTGCAGTTTTGTCACACAACACAATGCCACAGATGTCTCAAGTTTTGAGGGAGCAGTGCAATTGGCATGCAGGAATGTCCACCAGAGCTGTTGCCATGGAATTTAATGTTCATTTCTCTACCATAAACTGCCTCCAACGTTATTTTAGAGAATTTGGCAGTACATCCAACCGGCCTCACAACCGCAGACCACATGCGTGTCATAAGCTACGAACAATGAACACAACTGCATTTTATTGATGGCATGAATGCACAGAGATATCTTGATGAGATCCTGAGGACCATTGTCGTGCCATTCATCCGCCGCCATCACCTCATGTTTCAGCATTATAATGCACGGTCCCATGTCACAAGGATCTGTTCACAATTCCTGGAAGCTGAAAAAGTCCCAGTTCTTGTGAAATCCATAGAGGGGCCTAATTAATTTATTTCAATTGACTGATTTCCTTATATGAACCGTAACTCAGTAAAATCTTTGAAATTGTTGCATGTTGCGTTTATATTTTTGTTCAGTATATAATGCATTGTCTGTATTCCCCTGGTGGCACCTTAATTGGGGAGGCTCGTGGTAATGGCTGGAGGGGAATCAGTGGAATGGTATCAAAAAAATCAAACATGGTTTCCATGTGTTTGATGTCATTACATTTGCTCCGTTCCAGACATTATTATGAGCCATCCTCCCATCAGCAGCCTCCTGTGGTTGTTTGTATACGATGTTGTATACTCTGTTTGTTTTCTCTATATTGTATATTTTGAATTGCTTTACAAAAATAAAATAAAATAAATGTAAAGGAAGAAAAAATACCAACGAGCAGTCATGCAAGTATACTGTCCTGACCAATGATGTGTATAAACCCTGGATTGCTGATACTATGTGTTGAACAAATTAGGAGATTTTATTAATCTGGCCTGGTCGCCCAGGTAGGCGTGTTTTGCACCGGGTGAAAATTGAATACATCGTTCTGGAACCGGGCTGTCTCCCAGGCGTTAACCATGTGCCCGGTTCAAATAGCCTGACGACTCACACTAGAAATTCTGCCATCCCTCTGTCGTTCGCTACATACTTTATTGCGGAGAAGAAACTAAAGTCCGTGGATGTGGCGTAGCGTTTGGCTGGGAGTCTGGGTAGCCAGGCAACCGTTCAAAGCCCAAGGCGAAGTCGGCTCAAAACAAAAGTGACATAATTAAGCACGTGGAATAATGTCTGTGGGAGCAATTTATTTTTATTTATTTATTTAACCTTTATTTTATCGGGGAGTCATACTGAGACCAAGGTCTCGTTTACAGATGAGCCCTGAATTACATACATTACAGAACATACACACATCAATATAAATACAATATAAATACAAAATGCAAGCAGAAAGAATAACATGGTCATAACAAACAAACACATTCATCAGTAATAAAAACGATTTTTTATAACTAAGATAGACCACAGCCTGTTGTTTCCCATGGGAACAAATTAGTCATAGTGGGCAGAACATCAAGGAGGTGGGCAGAGCCAAGCACGAGCTAGCCAGATCCTATTGGCGGGTTCTAGCTATATTTGCATATTTCCGTTAGGGAACGCCTACTCTGTGAAGAGCGCGTGTGCAATAACTCAATTCGCCTTTGCACTCCTTCTAAACATTGCCATTTATTTAAAACTTTGGCAAAGGGTAAAGTCTACAAAACATTTCCACTCTGTTCATAACAGATTCTAGTTTTGGGAACAGAAAACTGTATTGAGATCAAATGTTTAATTGATGGGAAAATGTCCAGAATGTCGGCCAAAATCCATCTCATTCCATCTTCTCCCAATGCTGGCCAATGGGCTTCCTTTCACTACCATATTTGGTAGTGAGTGGACATGCCAAGTGGATGCAAGTGGAAACACCAAGTGGATGCTTCAGATTTATACATCCAGTGAAATATCTGTCTCATTGTTCTAACTGTGGTATTAAGGTCCTCAATCAGCTTTCTGAATTGCCATAGAGGCACCAAAACATACAATTTAAGAACAGTTTGAAGATTGTTCCACAACTAAAAGCTGATTTACCTAACTCAGTATAGAGACCAAAGTTATTTTTGAAAGACAGCTTTTCATCTATCCAGATGCCCAGATATTTGTAAGCATGGACACAACAAATATGGACACCATCCAAAGTACATATTCTTAAATCATCAGAGTTATTTTTATGCGCTCTAGAGAACAACATATACTTAGTTCTACATGCATTCAATACTAATTTCAGGTCAATAAATACAATAAAGGCAGACTGTAGTTCAGATAGAGCCTGGTCAACCGTGGGGGCAATAGCATACACAACAGTATAACCAGCATACAAGTGCAGGTTACAATTTTTTACAGACAAGTTGATATTGTTAATGTAAATAGTAAAAAGTACAGGACCCAGGATCGACCCCTGCGGGACACCTTTCGTAATATCCAGGAAACCTGATTTAACACCATCAGTAGATACACATTGAGTTCTATCTGTCAAGTCATTTTTAAACCATTTACATGCAGCCTGTTGAGGAAAGCCTCTGAATTAGCAGTGAGTGATCAACAGTGTCGAAAACCTTTGAATGGTCAATGAAGAGGGCAGCACAATGTTGCCTTTTATCAATAAAGTTAACCACATCATTTATAATTAGGGATGTAGCAGAGATAGTGTTATGACCTGGTCTAAAACCTGACTGATGTAAATTTAGAATACCTTTCAAAGATAAGAAAGATCTTAGTTGAGAATGAATCAAGGATTCTAATATTTTAGCTAGGCAAGAAAGTTTAGAAATAGGGCAATAATTATTTAGGTCACAAGGGTCATCACCTTTGTGAAGGGGGAGTACATGGGCCACATTCAAAACCTTGGGGATAGTACCAGATATAGTCGTCAGGTAAAAAATATGGGTTAATAATTAAGCAATCAGGGGGGCAGAGAGCTGCAGTAAAAATGGATCAAGCATATCAGCCCCAGTGTTTTTATTTAATTTATTTTTTTACATCAATCTTAAGCAAGGCATCTAGCACATCACAGACAGTAAATTGTTTAAATGAAAAAAAAGATTCACTAGAATTTGACAGGTTAATGAGTAGGATTCTGTGTTTTCACATGAAAACTAGTTTGAAAATTCAAGCATATTTTATGGAAAAGAGATGTTGTATATTTCTGGACGATGCACCATGCTGTCCTGTTGACAACATGACAGAGCGATGTAGATTACTGTTCGATTTGAGAAGGGTGCTACTTCCCTCGCTGCTCAGCATAATTTAATCCGCCCATTGAGAGGCTTTACATTTACATTTGACATTTTAGTCATTTAGCAGACGCTCTTATCCAGAGCGACTTACAGGAGCAATTAGGGTTAAGAGCCTTGCTCAAGGGCACATTTACGTCATTTAGCAGACGCTCTTATCCAGAGCGACTACAAATTGGTGCATTCACCCTATAGCCAGTGGGATAACCACTTTACAATTATACTTTTTTTTTTGGGGGGGGGGGGGGGGGGGGGGGGGGTAGAAGGATTACTTTATCCTATCCCAGGTGTTCCTTAAAGAGGTGGGGTTTCAAATGTCTCCGGAAGGTGGTGAGTGACTCCGCTGTCCTGGCGTCGTGAGGGAGCTTGTTCCACCATTGGGGTGCCAGAGCAGCGAACAGCTTTGACTGGGCTGAGCGGGAACTATGCTTCCGCAGAGGAAGGGGAGCCAGCAGGCCAGAGGTGGATGAACGCAATGCCCTCGCCTGGGTGTAGGGACTGATCAGAGCCTGAAGGTACGGAGGTGCCGTTCCCCTCACTGCTCCATAGGCAAGCACCATGGTCTTGTAACGGATGCGAGCTTCAACTGGAAGCCAGTGGAGTGTGCGGAGGAGGGGGGTGACGTGAGAGAACTTGGGAAGGTTGAACACCAGACGGGCTGCGGCATTCTGGATGAGTTGTAGGGGTTTAATGGCACAGGCAGGGAGCCCAGCCAACAGCGAGTTGCAGTAATCCAGACGGGAGATGACAAGTGCCTGGATTAGGACCTGTGCCGCTTCCTGTGTAAGGCAGGGTCGTACTCTCCGAATGTTGTAGAGCATGAACCTGCAGGATCGGGTCACCGCCTTGATGTTAGCGGAGAACGACAGGGTGTTGTCCAGGGTCACGCCAAGGCTCTTCGCACTCTGGGAGGAGGACACAACGGAGTTGTCAACCGTGATGGCGAGATCATGGAACGGGCAGTCCTTCCCCGGGAGGAAGAGCAGCTCCGTCTTGCCAGGGTTCAGCTTGAGGTGGTGATCCGTCATCCATACTGATATGTCGGCCAGACATGCAGAGATGCGATTCGCCACCTGGTTATCAGAAGGGGGAAAGGAGAAGATTAGTTGTGTATCGTCAGCGTAGCAATGATAGGAGAGGCCATGTGAGGATATGACAGAGCCAAGTGACTTGGTGTATAGGGAGAAAAGGAGAGGGCCTAGAACTGAGCCCTGGGGGACACCAGTGGTGAGAGCACGTGGTGCGGAGACAGCTTCTCGCCACGCCACTAGGTAGGAGCGACCGGT